TTAGGATTATAAAGATATATATGTATATATATTTATATTCATGTTATCTGTAAATAATAGTTTCATTTCTTTCCCATGCTCAATTTCTCTCTTTCTTGCTAATAATTTTTTGAACTAAGATTTCTATTACTAACTTAAAAGTGGTAAGAATAGACAAATTTGCCCTGTTTCTTATTTTGTTTGTTTGGTTTTCAGGGGCCCCACAGTTGTTGATGCTCAGGACTTACTCCTGGCTCTGAGCTCAGGGATCACTCCTGGCGAGGCTCAGGGGACCATATGGGATGTCAAGAATCTAACCTGGGTTGCTGCATGCAAGCAAGTGCCCTACCTTTTGTAGTATCACTCTGGCCCTGTGTTTCTGATTTTAAAGAAGTTATCCATTTTTCCCTATTAAGTGTGATATTAGCTGTGAATTTATACTGTATGATATTTATTAAACTGAGGCATACTTCTTCCACTGAGAAAAAGAGAACCATGACTATCCACATTTCAAACAGGCTGACTTCAAGAAGGTTAACGCCAGAAAGCAGAAGACGTCAAGGGGCAGCTGAGTCTGGGTGACATAATTTAACGATGGAGTATGTTCAGAATGTCCTTGAGCTGCCCAGAATCTTGCTTTGTAACCTTGGTAACCTAAGAGCATGTGCGAATATGCTCATGTCCAGACCCTGCTTTACAAAATGAAATGCGTTGGAATTACTGCCTCTGTACTCTCCTCGTAGCTGTCTGCAAATGCTCCAACCCCCATCAGATATTCTATAAAATGAAGCTCTTGACTTTGTTCTGAGCCCAGTTCTGAAGCAAGAGCTTAACTGTGTCCAATAATATAAAAGAACAGTGTTTTTCCACTTTTCAAGGCATGCAGCATGTTTTTTTTTCTGACTTCTGATGGGGATTTCAGCAACGCTTCAATTTTATTGACATTTTTCATCATAAATTGGTGTTGAATTTTGTCAAATGCTTTCTCAGCATCTATTGACAATATAATGTATATACCCTTCCTTTCATTGGTGTAGTATATTGCATTTATTGATTTGCAGATATGGAATTGGAATTTTTCTCTTGGCATGAGTTTTCTCTTGCAAAAGAAGAAGACCCAAAATATATAGGTCTGATACCCAAACTTCACCACCCGAGTAAAAAGCAGGATTATGTTATGGTCAGAGATATAAATACAGCAGAGTTGTTCATAGTTTTTCTTCATAAGGATAGAAATCCTTCCAGCTCAACAAAATCAAGTTCCCCCTCAGTTCCTAGTCCACACCTGAAAACATCAAGTGATGCCTTACTGCTTTATCCTAACATGAGGCCAAATTCTCTACCTTCTCTCTGCATATCTCACATTACTTAATAAAATCAATCGGTGCTGAAAGCTGACTTCTTCATCTATCTCTTATTTTGATGATCTGTGGCATATTCTCTTAGTAAGTACATTGACAAACATAAGCCATGCAAACTCTGAGAATGAGATTTAATGTAACACACCTACAGATACTATTTGGGCAACTTGAACAAGACCAAATATGACTCAGGAGAGAAAGAGCAATCAGAATATTGCAGGGGTGTTTCAATGGTAGGAGCAGTATTCTAAAGCCACGTGCTGTTCTCACTGGCTAACAGAGGCCACTGAAGATCACAATCTGAAATCATGACCACTTCCCACTAGGCTGGAATAAGATAAGACATTGAACATCACGACCTCTGGGAATGGGAGTGGCTCGCAGAATGTGACTGAATCTCCAGGAGTCACTGGACACATAACTGCACACGATTAGTATTCATTGCTACATCTCGGTATCTTGCAGCCCTCTCCTGAACTCCATTATGTTCCCAGCCTCTGCCCAGCCACTTTCAAGTCTTCAGTGTCAAAAAGAGGCTAAAAGGAGATTAAAGGCAGCTCACAGAAGAGGAGATGGAGGGTCTTTAGAGGGCACTCCACACTTGACCTGGAACAGGCAGGGTATGAGATGCAGTATTAACCACTCTGATGGACATTACACCTAGTGATCAATTGGTCCCTTATTGCATAAAATTTCACTGTTATCTATTCAAAGATCAACGAACCCTTGTCGTTAACAGTTCATATGTCCTTTCAGGAAAATAGTGGACATATTCTTAAATGGCTAGCATATGCATTCTGGTGTGTGCAAGCGTGTGAATGCATGAGTGTGTGTGTGTGTATGTGTGTGTCTGACGGGGGGGGGGGGGAGAGGACACTTATTTAGGATCCAATTATGATAGGCTCCAGAATCTTGCATTTTTCCTAGTTAATGTAATTTGTATCTTTCTCCAAATAAGCATAGCCAGCCTGCCTGCCTGCCTTCCTTCCTTCCTTCTTTCCTTCCTTCCTTCCTTCCTTCCTTCCTTCCTTCCTTCCTTCCTTCCTTCCTTTCTTCCTTCCTTCCTTCCTTCCTTCCCATTTTTTTACTCATTGAACTATTTGTTCCAGTCAGAATTTATTTTTATTTAATGGGTTTGGTTAGTAACCATCTCAAACAATTTCCCCTAAATCAAGTTTTGAATTTTGAATTTCATGATTTCAAATGTCACCTTTATCATATTTCCAATGTGAGTGTGTATTAGAGCCCATTTATAACTATTCCACTCCATAAACTTGCTATTCTCTAGTTCAAAAACTTAACTATAAACATTTATATTAGTAGCTTCCCCTATTAAATCATTTGGAGTATTTTATTTTCATGTCAAGGTCTTTTAGTTACAAAAGTGACCTAATATGTAGATATCTTAATTTGGAGTTCATTGGTAGATTCATCTCTTACCTCTGAGAAGTACATATTTTGTATAATTTTCATCCTACAATATAATATTTCTATGGAAAAATACAAAAGTCTTAATATCTATTTATTTTAAAATTAAGACGTAAAAAGTAATTTAAGTCAGGATAATTAACACAAAACAAAGCTAAGTTGTTTGTCTTTTCATCTTTCTCTTTAAATTCTCAACCATCAAGCACCAAGATTACAATCTGTTGTAACTGAAAGGTTATGTGTTACCAGTGACCACGAACTCAGGTCTTGTGTCTGCTTGGGCATTCACTCCAGCCCTTTGACCTATTTACTATCGCCCATGTTTTTTCAGTGGCAGGGATCAAACTCAAGGCCTTACACTTGTTACAATGACTGGGGGTCACATGCATGACTAGCTGTGGTGCTTAATTCACCTTCCACCCCCTTACAAACACACACACATACACACACATATACACACACATACTACTATGGGACTCACCAGGAATGACAGAAGGTTTTGGTGCCCGCACACTTGGCTGCAGTGCTCATTTAAGTTTTTTGTTTCAGGGCCCGGTTGCATAATGTTATTACTTGTGCTTGACTTTAGTTTTGTTTTGCTTTTGTAGTTCTGGGCCTAGTGCCTCATGCATACAAGGCATGCTATCTACAACTCAGCTACATGCCTGGTCTAACAGTTTCATTAAGAAGTAACATTTTAAACTTTAGTTAATTCAGTTAGAGCCCTTAAGGAGAAGAAATAACTAAGCATTCAAAATGTCAGGCCAGATAAATAGTACAGGTAGCACGCCTGACCTGGGTTCTATTGCTGGCATCCTGTATGGTCTCTGAGTATGCCAGGGGTGATTCCTTAGCACGGAGCCAAGAGTAAGCTCTGACCACCGCCAGCTGTCCATCCCCTCCCCCTCAAAAAAAGACCTCCCTGGATCTGGAAGTAATTCTATATGATGTCCTACAATATAAAAACAATAGGCCAATGTATTAGCATTAATTCTTCCAGTTTTAAGTACTTTACTGAAGAATCCTCCTATGATCAGAATTGGTGCAGCAGACATGAAAAAGAATTCAGCAGAAATGATACATTGTGGGTCAGAGCAATAGTAGAGTGGGTGGGGTGCATGCCTTTTACAAAGTGACTAGGGTTCACTTTTGGAACCACTTGTCACCCCAAAGCCCCACCAAGAGTGATCCCTGAGGGCAGAGTCAGGAGTAAGCCTTGAGCACAGTCTGATATGCCCTCCATATAATGATCTTTTGTGTTTCACTAAAAGTGAAAATTTGATATGTGGTGTAGAAGATTAGAAAAGTGGCTTAGAGTGCCTACCTTGCAAGTATATGGTTCTGGGTTCAAATGCCCAGCGTACCACAAATGCCAAGTGTGATCTTGGAACTCTATAGTTTTAGTTCATGCAGCCCATGCACAACACCCAGCACTGCAAACAATCTCCATCTACCTGAATCCAGATATAAGTAGCATGTAGAAATGTACAACCCTTTGGCAAGTACTGTTACTACAAAGATGTGCAAGTGATTCAGTAAAGAAACGTGATATCCTTAATCAATGGCTGAATAACTAGCAGTGCTCCTGCATTATAAAAAAACAAAACAAAACAAAACAAAGAAATATGGTATTGGGGCTGGAGTGATAGCACAGTGGGCAGGGCATTTGCCTTCGTTCCCAGCATCCCATATGGTCCCCTGAGGAGCACCAGGAGTGAATCCTCAGTACAGAACCAAGAGTAAACCCTGATCATTGCTGAGTGTGACCCAAAAAGCAATAAATAAATAAAAATAATAAAAAGAAATGTGGTATCTGGTGAGATTGGAGTGAGTACCACAACTACAGCTTAATCTGTTTTGCATTTAAGAACGGAAAATGTGGCAAAGCATTATGTGCAGACAGCACAACTTAAGGAATGCAAACCTTCATGAGCACTGCAGACAAGAGTGTAGCACTGTAACCTGATGTTGACCCCCAGCCAACACCACTACTAAAAATAAACAAGAACCACAAACAGGAATGTGTGCAACTCACTGAAACAACAGAATAACTGAAAGATAGGAATGGGGAGGAAATTCAAATTAAAAAAAAAAACTGTGTTCTTATGAGAGTTACAACATTTAATCATATGCATTAATTTCTGTGGTATATACTATATATAATTACAGTAAAGAAGCAAAAACATTGAAAAACACTTTTTATACACATGAGATCAAAATGTATGAACTTACTGTTAGCATATCATCACATTTCATATCTGGTGTATCACCATCTTCGCTTTTGTTGTAGAATTTTCGGAAAAAGTTAAATGCCACAACAGTATAGAGGTATACAACAACAGCTAATAAACCGACAGTTAATACAAGCTGTAAAGCAATGTGACATTGAAAAGAGATTATAAATCAAGAGAGATATATATGTATAAAACTGTTAGTTTTGATATCTCTGTAAAAAGGGAGAATCTACAATTACATAGATTTATTAATGAAACTAATTAAGGCCACACTTTATTTGCCTTTCATAACCACCAGTTGGAGAAATTTATTTTCATAATTTTTATTCCTTTTTTCAAGTTGTCAAACTATTTTATCAAAAACTCAATTACAGAATTGGTTAATAAATCCATACTAGAGCTAGAATATGAGTAAATTCTGATTTTCACATCCAAATTTATTAACAATATTAATAAGCTGCTTAAAATGTTCATTTTTATCAGCAGTAAAACTATATTAAATACTTTCAAGAAATTCCATGTCTTTTAAATAATTTATATTCCTAATAAAAAAACTAATTCATTCTCTTGTTATGATAGTAAGAGGGTGAATTATAAAACATTTTCATTCAATTATAGCAAAAACTAAAAAGAAAGTTGTATTGCTTCCCAAATCTGGAAACACAAAACTGTTAATGATATCAAATATTTTCAGAACAAATATTCTGAGAGCTAAAACAGAAATTTTGTTATTATATTTGTTATTATTCATCAAAATAAAATACCTCAAAAATTAATTTCTAATGTTATTTTAAAAGCCAATTATAATTATACTCATACTCATTATATAATTAGATATAATAATTTTAAAGGCACTTTTTCAGATCTATGCACTTTAATTCCAAATGACCATATAAGTATATGTGTGTACATATCTATCTATCTATAGATAGACTATATATATATAGAATATGTAAGCTTAAATTGAGATATTTGTAAGTGAAAATAAGAATTTCTAATTTTATCAGAAATTAAAGGTAAAGGTAAAGGCCCTCCCGTTGATCGTCGATTTGCTCGAGCGGGCCCAGTAACGTCTCCATTGGAGATTTTGTTGTTACTGTGTTTGGCATATTGAAATATTTCTAAAATGTGCTATTTCATCTTATTACTATACATCACTTTATTTCTTATTGAAGTGACAAACAGTAAGCTTTAAAAACTCATTTTACATTGGGGGCCAGAGCCATAGCACAACAGGTAGACATTTGCCTCGCATGTACCATTGTGGTCCCCTATGCACCTCCAGGAGTGAGTGATCCCTGATCACAGAGCCAGGGGCAAGCCTTGAGCACCACTGGGAATAGCCCCCAAAATTAAAAATAAGGACTTTACAGTACTATGATACAAAGTTATCTTACCAATGGGTATGGCATGGTAACATTATATTTCTGAAACATAAATGTTTACTTGATTGCAAACCAATATGACAATCACTGTCACTGTCCTCCCAGTGTTCATCAATTTGCTCGAGCGGGCCCAGTAACATTGTGAGACTTGTTGTTACTGTTTTGGGCATATTGAATATGTCACGGGGAGCTTGCCAGGCTTTGCCGTGCGGGGAGATACTCTCAGTAGTTTGACAGGCTCTCCGAGAGGGGAGGAGGAATCTAACTCCAGTCGGCCTGGTTGGCCACGTGCAAGGAAAACCCCCTACCTGCTGTGCTATCGCTCCAGCACAATATGACAGTAGAAAAAAAATTAAAAAATAGAACCTGTGTAGAATTAAAACAGAAAGAAACACTATACAATTATCTGGAGAGGGACTGGAGAGATGATCCAGCAGAGAGGGTGCTTGTTTAGACCCATTTAATCTGGGATTGAGCCCCGGCAACCCATATGATCTCAAGGTGTTCCGGGAGAGACACCTGAATGCAGAGCTAGGAGTAAGCCCTGAGCACAGCCATGTGTAACCCCCAAACAAAAACATACTATTATCTAGAGAAAACAGTACTTAATAGAGAGCCCAATTCATTAAGAGTTATATTATCATTAAAATTTTTTACATGTTTCATCCATAAGGACAAGTAAACTTTTTGTATTTCTACAAAAGAGGGAAATCATATTTAATGCCCCACCCCCAACAAAATAAAGATTTAGAAAATTATTGAAAGTAAGATAAGGCCTTTGGGGGGTGGTGTTTGGTGCTAAAATACACAATTTCAGTTCTTTGAGTTCAAACTGATTTACTGACTAGTAAGTACAAATAGTACTTTCTTTTGTCACTGAACTCATTCAGAAACTAAAGTATCACATTTAAGAACCATGCTTTAAATGAATAAAATAATGTAAATTTTATTGTGCATACAGCTCAAAGATTTTGGAGAGGTACAAAGTAAAAAGTATGCTATATTATAAAATTCTGGACAAGAACTGTATTCATTTAAATTACTGACATAGACTGCACTCTTAAGGAACACTTGATACTGAATGTCAGTAAGTAGATATTATATAATAAATTTTTCGGTACTTAAAGTTTTAATATTACCTTTGAATTTTGTTAGAACATAAATTGATTATTTTGCATTAAGTTAGTCAAGAATGAAAGATCAATTTTTTTCAATTTTATTGATTGATTGGTTTGGGGGACAGAACTGCTGATGCCCAGAGCTCACTCCTGGTTCTGCACTCAGGGTTTACTCTTGGCAGGCTTGGGGACCTTATGGAGTACTGGGGATGGAACCTGGGTCAGCAACATGTAAGGCAAACAACTTCCCTGCTTTACTATCACTCAAGTCGAACTTCTGTTCAGTTTTAAAATACACATGGATTTTTTTTAAAACATCCATTATGGGAAGAACGCAGCATCTCATGTTCAACACTAAAACAACTAGTGTGTTGGTAATGGTAGTTCTCAATTACACATTCCATTGTTTCCATTGTATCAAAGACACTTTATTAGTATCAAAATTAATAGCCAATTTTACCTGTATTATTGTATATAGGGGGATGTCTTTGTTAAAACTTCTAAAATGATGTTTTCCTTTAATTTTCCAAGACCCCACAGGGAGATGATTTTATGAGATCTTTATGTTTTAAATGAGGGAGATGAGATTTAAAAAGTGCTAAAAAATTAACTCAAAGTCACATACCTAACTAGTGATGCCAACACTTGCATATAGATCTATACTTACTAACCATAACAATTTCTATTTTTTGAGGCTTTATCCCTTTATTAGATAGAAATTCATAAATAAAAAGTTGCATAAGCTGTGCATTTAGGATTTTTTTAAAGTTTTATTTATTTTTATTTTTTAAATTGAATCACTGTGAGATACAGTTACAAAGCATTATTATCAGGTTTCAGTCACAAAATGCCTCAACACCCATACCTCCACCAGTGTACATTTCCTACCACCAATATTCCCTGCATCCCTTCAGCCACCCTCACCTCCCCAACCTGCTTCTAAGGCAGGCACTTTTCTTCTTTGCCATAATGATTTCTAAAAAAAAAAAGTACAGGTGTTCCAATCACAGAAAAATCTTTCAAACTATGTAATATTATTTTGAGACTTGGTTTTAATTTTGTTGTTATTGTAGTTTTTTCAGGAATAAAAAACTTAGACATTTACCTGTTTGCCATTGTGAGTTACTGATGACAAGATAGTTCTTAAGGTCTTGAATCCCATAGCTATGTCAAGAAGATGAGCAGCGAAAAAAAAGTTGTTATAGTGTCCAAGAACGGACATAGTCATGTACCAGGCTAAGTAGAGGAAGGACTAAGAAGATGAAACAGAAGAGATAAACATATCAGGGAACAGAACTCAAGACTATTGTTAAAATCAACTCTGATTTCAATGTCATAATCACCCCATTTACTCTCCCTTAGACTATCAATGGATAAAGATCATAATAGCTATATTGGTTTGCATGTTTTATTTTTATTTAGTTTAATATCATTAGTATCAAAATCATTTTATTTTTCTTTATCCTCCCACAGAGAAAATTTTATTAATATCTGACTGCAAGATTTCTGAAACTCAACACTATTCATAGCTGGGACTAGAGGACTGTTGTGGAGCTGCCTTGTGTATTATACAATGGTTAGAAGCATTCTTGATCTCTGCTCATGAGATGCCAACATCAGCCCCCTATCTTCCAGCTGTGACAACCAGAATTGTCTCTGACAGTGTAAAATGTCACCTGAAGAACAAAAGTGCCCCAGTTGGGAACTCTTGCATTATAGTCAAACGAAGAACTAACCAACTTTCCTTCCCCCCACCTCTTCTCTCTTCCAACTTCCATTACTTACCCCAGTAATGAGTGTTTGTTGAGATCTACTACTTTCAAAGCTTAATATGAAGTGTCTTGTTAACTAAGAACTTCACTTACATGAGTCAATACAAGTCTGTGAAAAAACTCAAATAATTTCTGATACCACTGAAAGGCTATAAAATAATATTACAATTGGTATCCATAGCAAAAAAGATTTCTTAATTTTAATTAATGTAAAGGATCAGCTTTACATTGAATAGAAAACATGTCCAGTTTGGGTTGGGAAAAGTAGAAGATAATATCAGAAAAAGTACTATGGGATTGAAAGGGCATGAGACCAAGTTGAGGCATATGGGCACATCCTGTAGAGGGGTGGAAAACATCCGGCCTGTGGCCATACAAAGCCTGCAAAGTCATGTGGTCTGGTCCTGCTGCATGACAGAAGTGGTAGATATCCATTCACTGGCTTCCTGCAGTCTATTTACCTTCATTATCTGGTCTGTGTATGGAAAGGAAATGGACCTTACAGAAAAAGGCCCTCAAAATCTGTCTTATTGGAACATCTAAGTCGCTAGAGAATCAGAGTATATAAAGACAAGATCTTTCCCCCATGAGCTAAGAGTTCCAAATGTAGTGGGGAGAAAAGAACTGTTAGAAAATAGTCACAACCCTGAGTCAGGGCAACAAAGCTTCTGTCACCAAGTGTCCCATCCCAAAAAGAAGGGAGAGAAAAGGAAAGACCACTGTCACATTTTATGTACTAATCTCATCTCCTGCAAAAGCTTTTCCTTTTTCTTTTTTTATAAGTAATTTTTAACTCTAACTTTGTTTCAAGGCATGACAAAATGTATATTTCCTTAAAGAAAAATAAAAATAAAACAATGTCATATGAAATGTATTGTTTTATAAAAATTTCTGTAGTATCTACTGGGCTGGAGCAATAGCACAGCAGGTAGGGCATTTGCCTTGTACACAGCTTACCAGGATTCGATTCCTCCATCCCTCTTGGAGAACCCGGCAAGCTACTAAGAGTATCCTGCCCACACGGCAGAGCCTGGCAAGATCCCCGTGGCATATTTGATATGCCAAAAACAGCAACAACAAGTCTCACAAAGGATACATTACTGGTGCTGGCTTGAGCAAATAGATGAACAACGGGAGGACAGTGACAATGACAGTAAGTACTACAGTGCAGTATCTACTAGGTACCACTCAGTGTTCTATACATTTGGATGCACAGTGTCTTTGTTTTGTTCTAGCAAGATGCCTGATAAATAGGTGATTTTAATTCCAATTTACAAATTAGAATGGGAAAACTTAGGTCAAGGTACTTTCTAAAGTAGCAAAACCATTAAATTAGGAGATTTCAGGGCAAATATCATGAATTATGAGAGCCAAAATGAACCTTATAATTACCAAGGATAAGGGTGTGACCTAAATTAGGCAAAATATTAAGTATATATATTTTTGTTAAGAAGAAGGAAAAAGAATTTCTTCAAGCAAATACTTCGAGTCTGGTTAGCAGGAAGAACAAAAATACTGGCAGAAAGAATTCATAGTGAGGGGCTGGAGAGGTAATATAGGGGTAAGAAAGACCCTCATCTCGCATGCAGCTGACCTGGGTTTGATTCATAGTACCCCAAATGTCCTTTAAGCCTTGTCAAAAATGATCCCTTAGCACAGAGCCAGGAGTAAATCCTGAGCATTGCTAAGTGTGCTCCTCCCTCCAAAAAACCCCACAAAAGTAAATTGTGGACAGGTAAAGGGATTTAGTGGGGTGGAATGGAGGAGGGAATGGATAATACATTTGCTACGGGACACTGATATAAAATTATTAGTGGGTTGTTTGTGAGCATGTGAAGAGACGTAAAATGTCAGTGATAAACTACACGTTTAGAAAACACACACACCAAATTAGATATTAGGCTTAAACATATTTAGAAAATAAATCTTTTCATATAAATTTCAAAATCTGATGAAAACATGTTTATAGTAAGACTTACACTTGACTATATATGTTTAAATTATACATATATACATATACATATTTATACATGGATTCTCTTCATTTACTTTGGGGATACTCCTCATAAGTAGGTAGGAAATATAAAAAATTTAGCTCTTTGAAAAATGTAAATATACTACATACATTATATATTGCATATATAGACTTAAAATAATACACACATAGTTATATAAGCCTATATTTAAATTAAAAATATAAAATCCTATATTTCAATTAATAATATGAAATCACATATTACATTTTATAGTACCAGCTATGTTTCAGAGAGAAACTGTGCTTTAGTGAAGACTGAATGCATGTTAAAAGAGATAATTCACCAAACGGCAGCCATGCACTGTTGGTATCATCAACGGAAATCTAATAACGTTACGATTCCTAAAGAAGTCACTTCATACTCCTTCCAGTGTCTTCTCATGCCCCAGTTCTCTAGAGCAGTGGTTTTCAACCTCTGATCCATGGAACAGGCTTGGCCCACAGTTGTAAAAAGGTTAAAAACCACTGCACTAGGGGAAACAAAAAGTACACATTGCATATAGCATGGTAATATCAGGCACAAACTGTTGCAAAAAATGGACTGAGTAAGCATTATAATTAAGAAGGTTCAACCTTGGCAGTAAAAACCAAGATGACCTGGTTACTTTAATGGAAAACAGTGATGCTGGCTTCAGATGTAGGAAGGTGGGTGCTTCCACTAGTAGATAGGTAATGAACTACAAGACACCTTATTGATAGTTTAAGGCTCATTTTTGTTCTAAAAGACACAAAGCTTACTTTTTTTCAGCTCTTAGGACAAATCTTTAAGATAACTATTATTCTGTGCCCATGGAACTAGAATAATTTGAAAGGGGTGGTCAGAGTGTTTCAAAGATTGGACCTAACATTCAATGTAAAAGTCAGTGCTAACATCAGAGAACAATTTGAGATTTAAATGGAATGTTCAAGGAAAAAAACACAGCATGGGTTCTTTAGGAAAGTGTTAGAATATGTTTGCATGTCCTTATTAACAGGATACTGAGAATAATGAAGCACTAGGTGAGGCCAGGCTGAGACGCTACAGCAAAAGTTCATTGGCTTATTCACCAGTTTCATGATTGCTTCAAGCAACTTCCCACAGCCAGAAAATGAGAGCACAGAAACAGCTGGCAGTAACAATCAGTTCAATGGAAATTAGAAGATTAAACAGTATCAAAAGTACTAGGCAAGTGAGGCCAGGAAAATGTGGTTCTCTGCCACAAAAACTGGTGATCGAGAAATGAGTGTAAGTGACATTCCACCCCCTCAATATAATTGGGTTATTTGATAAAAAAAAGATAAAAAGAGAAAAAGAAACAAGCAAACACACAATAATTTATTATACTTAATTTGGAAATACTTAAATTGGTCACAATTAACTTTAATGTTTTTATGTTTATAATTTCCTTTTTAAAAACAAATTTATTTATTTTGGTTTTTGAGTAACACCTGGAAGTGCTCAGCGCTTACTCCTGGCTCTGCTCACAGGGATCACTCCTGGCAGGATTCAGGGAACATATGGGGTGACAAAGATCAAACCCAGGTTGGCCACACGTAAGACCAGCAACCCTACCCGCTGTTCTATCTCTCCAGGCCTTAAAGCATATGTAAAACTCAAAAATGACATTTCTCACTTAATACCTAAATGAAAATATGCATGAACTTTTTATGTCTCGTTTTTTAATATACACATATTCATCTTTCAACTATTACAACAGGATTGGTATCTGAATAACTTATTTTTTCGATAGGAGCCTCAGCAGCAGCTCTGGGGGACCTGGGGGTCATAGCAGTGAGTCCTGGATCCAGTGAGTGATAAAATGCTGCTCTGGCCTGATGGTGCTCAGCAGATGAAGAGCTTTCTTCTCAGAGTCAACAACTTTCATAAATAACTGTCTGCAAACAGAGTGGGTATGGGGGTAGAGTAGCACTGTAGCACTGTCTTCCCATTGTTCATCTATTTGCTTGAGCGGGCACCAGTAATGTCTCCATTGTGAGACTTGTTGTTACTGTTTTTGGCATATCGAATACGCCATGGGGAGTTTGCCAGGCTCTGCTGTGTGGGCAAGATACTCCCAGTAGCTTGCCAGGCTCTCTAAGAGGGGCAGAGGAATCGAACCAGGTTGGCCACGTGCAAGGCAAACACCCTACCTGCTGTGCTATTGCTCCAGCCCAGTGGTAGAGTAGATGATTACAAATAACTCTGCAAAAGCTTAACAAATTGATCTAATCAGAGTGTATTTTACTTTGTTGGTACTGAAGTAGAACTTACATTGTCAGTAAAAACAACTCCGAGTTTCCACATCTGATACTTCACATCAATAGAATTCAGTCTGGAATAAATGACAAAAAAATAGAAAAGAAAGAATAATAGAAAAGAAAAGAAAAAGAATCATTTGCAAATACAGGTATCAGGGATCCCTGGTACCACATATGTTTTCCCGAGCACCCTTAGGAGTGATCTCTAAGAGCAGAGCCAGGAGGAAGCCCTGAGCACAGCTGGGTCTTCTGTCCCTTCCTCCCACACTAACCTCCCTCCCTCCTTCAACCGTTCATAGGCTTCCAAGAGCTGGCTAGCACGCACTTCTCATGGAACAAGACAGAAACTATCTCAAGAAACTACAGTTGGCCTTTGAACAGCATGGGCTTGAACTGCATGGATACATGTATGGATCATATATATGCAAAATTTTCTAGTCTGTTTCAGCGAAAGAGTTAACTAGCCTTCTGACCTTGGATGTTAGTTGAATCTGTGGAAGCAGAATCCACAGAAATGGAGGGTCAGCTACAATAAACCATGACTTTCAGTGTTTGTAGATATCCTGAAATTATAGCCCCCTGATCTGCAGATACCAAGGGAGAGGTATAGTTAGTTTCAGGGGAGTTAATGATTATATGAGGATTTTGTACTAATGATTATAGGAGGATTTTGTACTAAGTGCAGATCAGTAACCCTATTGATGAACCCAACCTCTATGACAAATTATTTAAAGGTCAACTGTAGTTCTATCCCAAAGGAGTAGCTAAGACTTGTTTTGAAAAGAATATTCCAGAGTTTTGTGATTTTTTTCTTTTAGGGAGACCCTAAAAAGAAGCAAAACAAAATACAACCTTATTTATCTTACTTAGAATTTTTAAAATTGTATTCTCCCCTATAAGATATAGGGTATAAGTAAAAACTATTCCTGTAAAATGCAGAAAATTAACCAACATATGTGCATAAAATATGCTGTTCTCCTGTTTAAATAGTCATATAACAAGTGTTTCACATATTTTTAATAAAGGAATAACATAGTGGTTCTAATTCCCAGTAAAGTAGATATTTTAATAGATATTTATTTTTCTGATTTCATTATTCCTATATATTTTTCTTTTTGGGTCACACCCAGCAATGCCCAGGGGTTACTCCTGGCTCTGCACTCAAAAATTACTCCCGGAGGTGCGTGAGGGACCATATGGGATGACGAGTATAGAACCCGCATTGACCATGTGCAAGGCAAACGCCCTACCTGCTGTACTGTCACTCTGGCCCCACATTATCGATATTTAAGGTATTTATAAATGGCACATGTATTTTTTAGGATTTTTATAGGGGTTAAACTTTATGTGGTTACTTTGTAAAATAGTGGGGATTTACATTAATGTAAACTGTTCATAGTAAAAAACTGTAAATTTTCCTTATATTTTTTCAGACTAATTTTTTAGAGTAATATAGATTGCCTTAGAGTGTATAATTAAGTAAAAATGTTAATTCTACATTTCTCACTGGGGATATGAGCATGTTAATACCAGGAGCATTACCATACACACTATAGTCCTTGTTCTTTATAATATTCTAACATAAAGGCCGTAGTTTCTGATGATTGATAAGTACATTTCATTTTGCATATATTATCACATTCCTTTAGTTCCATATTTGTTTTCTTAAAGTAAAAAGGTTTCTTAAAAAATTTAAACAAACAACTTCTGCTTAGATAACTGCTTCTTAACTATGTTCATGTTATTTTATTATTTTATTATTTATTTATTTATTCATTTTTGCTTTTTGGGTCACACCCGGCAACACACAGGGGTTACTCCTGGCTCTGCACTCAGGAGTTACTCTTAATGGTGCTCAGGGGACCATATGGAATTCTGGGAATCGAACCTGGGTCGGCCGCGTGCAAGGCAAATGCCCTACCTGCTGTGCTATCTCGCCAGCCCTGTTCATGTTATTTTTAATGATCCACCCAAATAGTTCTAACACAATGTTATTTCAGTTGCTGTCAGTATTTTTGTTTTGATTTTTGGAGGCTAGTCCCAGTAGTTCTCAGGGGACACTGCTAGCTCTGAGTTCGAGGACCACTTCTGGCTTTGAGGTCACACTTAGTAGTACTTGTAGGCCCATATTCATTGATGGGATTTGAACCAGGCTGGCAGCTAAAGCTACAAGTTAGGCAAGTACCCTAACTTCTGTACAATGTTTCACCCCCAACACATTTTTGTTTATTTTGTTTTGTCTTATAATTTATTATAGTTAAGATAATGTGTTTACAGTAGTATTGACACTTATAGTCTTGGTGTTGACACTTATAGTCTTAGTGTACACAGTTACTTCACTGTAATACTACCAAAGTACCCAATACTCTTCTTACCAAACATTTCATAGATTAAAAGAAAATCTATAAGCAGAGGTCAGTAGTTAGTTCAAAGGATTAACTCTAAGTCTCTGGGTATCACTGGGTATAGTTTGAAACAAATAAATAAGACAAAAAAAGAGCAATCTACAACAATGCAACATGTATCTCCACACATTTTGGTATTAATTAGAAATTTATATAAAATAAAGTACAGTTATGTGGATGCAGGAATAAAATATAATCTCATGTGAATTCAATTTAATGGACTTTCTCAGTCTAGCTATGTTCTATTATTCCATGGAAAGACTGTATTGAGTGTCTCATTTTACAGTTAACTTCCCAGGTAACATAATAACACAGTATTTCCTGCACCAAAGTCTTTGCTATTTTAATAAAATGCAACAATTAATAATAGGATACAAACTTTGAAAACTTCTGATTAAGGGACTATAATAATATCTCCCTTTCCATAAGAAAATTAAATTTTGTTTCAAACAGGAAGCTTCAGAATGTCACTTAAGGATAAAAAAGGCAAACTGCAGCAAAAACATAAACATTCTTAACTTTTTCTTCCTTTATGTGAGCAATGGAAAAAAACTTTAAAAACTAATAAGAAAAATTATTCCAGAGCTCAAAATACTCAGCAGCAGGAAAAGTAGGCTATATATGCATTTTCAGTTTGCCTCATCTCTCTTTTTATTACTTTACAATGAAGTAAAGGAAATCAATACACCGGGAAATGTATAAATGCATTTATACATTTCTTTCCTCATTGTAACCCAGACATGAAATATAAACCAGAGGCAGCACTCACACGGCTGACAGGGAGCTGTCTTTCTTTGGCTTCTTCTTTTCTCGGGCATCACTGAAATCCAGAGCAGCTTTATCCATACCAAGTAATTCACTGATTCTATCTCGGCCATAGAATTCTCCATACTTATCCATAACCTGGAACGGAAAAAAAAATTCATTGATCTGAATGATTAAGCAACCCTACCTGTGTTTGTGCACATAAATATTTTTTTAAAAAATTTATGTGCTCACCTTAGTGATGCTTAGGTGCCCTGGCTCTGCACTCATGAATTACTCCTGGCAGAGCTCCAGGGGCCATATGAGATGCGGGGGATTAAACCCAGGTCAGCCATGTGCAAGGCAAGCATACTAACCCACTGTAATATCTATCCACCCCCAATTTATGCTATTTTTAACTGATACAATTTTATGAATTTTAATTTTCTATGGCTTGCAATGGTATTAAGAATGGTTTATCATAGGGAAATGCAAAACAAAACAACAACGAGCTATTCACCCCTGTAAGAATGGCACATCTAATTTATGCTTCATCTTCTGTGATTATTCAGCTTACAGTCAATGAAAACTTAGAGCATTTTAAGTAATGTCTATATAAGGCACAAGATTATTAATTCAATTGACAGTGGAACTTGGAAAAGAATAGGATGAGCTGATGTAATTGGGAAAAGAAGTAGGAGGAAATAAAAGCAACTTCTACTAAATTCATATTTTATGTCATGAATTATGCTCAGAATGTAGGCACGCTTTACTTCCTGTGACTCTCACACTATGTAGGTTTTCTGTTTTTAGAATTTTATTCTGCACTTAAGGAAATTGTGTCTTAGAAAATGTGACCCACCTGAAGTTGCTAAGCTGGGTATGATTTGGGGTCAGTCTGACCAGTGACTGACCCCAGCAATGATCTTCTGCAAAGACTACTGTAGCCCCTGGTGACTCCTACAAAAAGTTACCAGATGTTCACTACAGACAAATTATGCTCTCATTGTATTCTAAATTCAATGTAAATAACAGCAGATATGGACTCTTGGCCCCATACTGTCATCCTCAGTTTCATTTGTAACTAGTATTAATCCTTGTTCAATGATCATTATTGATTATAGTATTGATTATAATCCTAGTCATTCTATAATCCTAATGATTATATTTTTGATGATTAGGAGCACTTCTTAGCAAACTATCATATCTATCTCTTCTGTCACATATGCCAGGCTTTTTCCATGTCAGATTTTTAGATGTGGTTCAGTTTGCCCTTATACTCAAAATGTCTGACTCTGTACAGTGGCACAGAAGTCTAAAGTTTTTATGCCAAAAATGTCTTATACAACAGTGAAAATGGAGGAACAATAATGAAAGGAAAGTGGAAAGGATTGAGAGAACTGATAGCAAGTACAAGAATGGGGCTTAGGAAGACAGGGGACAAGAAATACATGATGAAAGAAATGAGAACCAGGAAAAGAGAAGATGGATGTGAAAGTAAATGATTACAGTAGGTGAAGGAAAAATACTAAGTTGAGAGTAGGGAAATATTAGTAGAAATAAGAAGTAGCTCCTGAATGTATGCATTCAGGCAAAGACAAACAATGTTTAGAGCCTCTAGTATCTGCTGTTTAGATTACTAAAACAATTTGGTTTTCACTAGTCTCACATCACTGAAAATGGGTTGGACTGGGGCTGCAGAGATAGCTCAAGAGGCTGAGTAAGAATGCTTCCCATGCAAGAGGCCTGGAGTTGATCCTCTCTCTCTCTGTAGCCTATGTGGCCTCCCTAAAATGCCCCTCCTTAATATTTGTCCCCCACTCTCCACCAGGACTCTGCGCAGCTGGGAGCAACCCCAACATCAGGAGTAACATCTGAGCAGGGCTGGATGTAGGCTCCAAACAACAACAACAACAACAACAACAACAACAACAACAGCAAAATCCAAACATCCACAAAAAGTGTGATAGGGCTGATCTGGGTGGGCATTCTCTATGGTTTATAGTCTCACCCTCATTCCCAAGAGAACACATTGTTCTCTAGTAAGAATGTCACAGAAATTCTTAATTGAAATTACAGTTTATCTATTTAATTCTAAATGTATATTTTCCATCAGAGAAACTCTTGTGTTAGTAATCTGGAATAGTTATTCTTTATTTATTTGTTAAGTTTAAAATAAGAATACAAATATTATTTTTGTTTGTTTTTGGCACATACCCAGCAGTGCTCAGTGGTTACACCTGGCTCTGCACTTAGGCATCACTTCTAGTGGATTTGGGGACTATATGGAACGCAAGGGATTGAACCCAGGTCAACTGCATGTATAGCAAGCACCCTGCCCACTGTACTATCTCTTGGTCCCAAGAATAAAACTATTCTAATTATTTTAAATGATTCCTTCAAAGTATTGGTCTCACTTGAATGTAGTCCAATGCAATGCAAAGCTAACCTAAAACATAACAATAAAAATCCTTGCACCAAAATAAATACATACACTGCCTTTCTTTAGTTTTTGTTTGGATTCGGGGTCACACACATTGATGCTCAGGGTATACATCTATTATGTGCTCACGGATCACTCCTAGCTGTGCTTGGTGGAACACATCTTATTCAGTGATTGAATATGTTTCAGAAGCATGCAAGGCAAGTATCTTAATGCTTGTACTATCTCTCCAGTCTCTATAATGCCTTGCAAAACTGGAGTCTATTTTTTTCCCTTTATTTTATTTTATTTTATTTTATTTTACAATTGTAGATTTACAATTTTTTGTGCTTTGGTTTCAATTATACAATGATCAGATACCCATCCCTCCACCAGTGCCCATTTTCCACCACCATGGATAATATCCCTCCCACCCCCATCCCCCCATCCCCCCTGTCTCTGTGGCAGGGCAATCCCCTGTGTTCTCTCTCTCCTTTTGGGTGTTGTGGTCTGCAAAAGAGGCATTGAGTGGCAAACATGTTCAGTCCATAATCTACTTTCGACATGCATCTCCCCTCCTGGGAGGATCCTCCAGATAGAGAATGGAGTTTATTTTTAAAATCACTGTCACTGTCCTCCCATTGTTCATCAATTTGCTTGAGCGGGCCCAGTAACGTCTCCATTGTGACACTTGTTACTGTGTTTGGCATATCAAATATCTCACGGGTAGCTTGCCAGGCTTTGCTGTGCGGGTGAGATACTCTCAGTAGCTTGCCGGGCTCTCCAAGAGGGGCAGTGGAATCGAGCCTGGGTCAACCGAGTAGGCTGTGTGCAAGGCAAACGCCCTACCCACTGTGCTATCACTCAAAGTATTATAATGTACAAGTACTATTAAACATTTTATTTTATTTTAAAAGAAGTGACCTATAATAATACAATAACATCCTGTGTGGTTTTATTTGATGGTCCCCACCATCTACAGCAAAACTTCACTGCAGTGTTCTTGCTACTGCTTTCTAATACCATAATATCAGAAGAGTAAAACTTTATAAAGATTTTTTTAAATAAATAAAAGTATAGAAAGTAAATAAAATTCGATTTTAACTAACATTCTCATTTTTTTATTTGTTTGTTTTCGGTTTTGGGGGCCATACCTGATGTTGCTCAGCGTTTAGTCCAGACCCTGCTCTCACAAATTACTACTAGCAGGCTCAACTGTCCATATGGAGTGATGGGAATTGAATCAGGTTGAGTTCATGCAAGGCAAATATCCACCCTACTATCACTCCAGCCCCCCTCACCAACTTTTCTACTTCTTAGTTTATTTATCTAGAATCTTCACTGATCGAATCTATGGATTCACACATGCAAGGCAAATACTCTATAGCTAAGCACCATTTAAAGCCTACTGTTTAGAGAGGGATCCAGTCCAGGTAGTTTTATCAGGTGTCTTCCTGGAAAATGAGCTTAGCCAATTTAGTTCAATTAAACAATCTATTGTTTGATTCACCTGAGTCATAGGATGGGAGAATGAAGCAATGTCTGATTATTTTATAACGATAAAACAAGAAATGCCTTATGAATTATTTTTTGGAGAAGTTCATACTCAATTCTATTGCTACTTTGAAATGACATTAACAAACTAATGACACATACTGCACTATCTCATTCACATAATAAAACACATAACATTCAAATCTAGATTGTGCTGTAGAAAAATAGGGTCCTTATTTTGTCTAAGATATATTACCTTTCTTTTAACAAATTTGTCCCAGTAGTTGTTGGGAAAAGACCTAAAAGATATAAAGGCGTAGATATTAACAGCATCATCATTTAAAAAAATGACAGTAAGCTTGTTCAGAATATACAAAATAATTAAAATTAATCTAAACATGCTCTTTTATTCACAAGAATTACAATGACTGAGTTTTGTAACTTATTCCATTATTTTACATATAATGCACCATAAATATTATAATAATGTCAGCATATCAATATATACATATAAATCACAAAAAGGCTATGGCCAACTAGTTTAATAGCAGATAAGATGGACACATTTATTAGTAAGTTTCTTCTTATATTTTTAATTACACATGTTTCAGTACATATGTTTTTCTCAATTACAACTAAAATACTTTGTTATTTTTTTCTCTGAAGCAAAAATATCTAGTTTCACCAGTTATTATTCGAAGGCATTTTTTACTGTGGTGACAAAGCACCATTCTAGCACCTTGGTTTAATGTAATATTAACTTGGATTATACTTGATTAAATTTAGTATTAACAGCAAAAGTTTCTGATCAAAACACAGCACAGATAATAAACACTTAAAATGAACAAATAAATCAGTCCTATTTGAAAATTTAGAATCTGTTACTAAAATATTAAAGAACAAGTGAAACTATGACAGAATGTACTTAGTTCACATTTTAACAGTACAAAGTACTCAAAAATATTGCTACTAATACCTCTTATTGTGAAAAATTTAACTTTTGTGATGAATTTGTACGTAAGCAGAAGCTCATACTTTTGGACCTAAATTTCTTCAGGCTACATAACTCATGTATAGAAAAAGTACTTGAATTTTCCTTGTCTGCATAAAATTATATGATTTGTAGTTGGCTGTGTGTTAGACTATTTGATGTTACCAACTGAAAGTTTACAACTCAGACACATTAAAAGTGCTAAACTCAATATTTTTTATTTTAATGCTATACTTCTATCTTAATGAAAAAAATTTTTTTATACTTCTGTGCTTGTGAATGAGATAACCCTGGAGATTATGTACCCCTGGCTGTATACTTCTCTGAACACTGAGTAATGGATGTTAGATTCCGTCAATGTTGTGGAAAAGAACTCAGAGCCATTTTTGATTAAGGACTTCAGAATACAGAGGGCAAAAATTGATGGCATCCATTAAGAGGCTGATGGCACTTAGTCTTTTGCTTTTCTTGACTGAATATATAACTATTATTCACCTTGGTAAAACTTTTGATAAATCTGCAGGAACTCTGACAAAGTATTGTATGTCTTACAATTTAAAAAAATTTTGAGTTCAGAGATGTCTTATGGAATCCTTTACTTACTGTGTGTTGATCACAAGTCTATCCCACTGGCCTTTAATATCATCTTCCGAGGGCTGTTCTGTAATATAAAGTCCATCAAATTCCAATTTCCGTGCTACTTCCTTTTCTCGCTTAAAAATAACTAAGGGGACCTATATTTGAGAAATAAACATGTTAAAATTAGTTTAGATTTACTGGTATCTCTTGTGGTCACTATCTTTATGAAACAGTTTTTGAAAATATATTTCCCATGCTGCTTCCAGGAGGATAAAAATTAAGTGAAAATGAATCAGCTATATTTAGGCATAAGGAAGCATCAGAAGGTTTTAGAGGAAAAAAAGATGATACGATAATATTATATAAATATGCATTCATGGTATATATTATAAATATGCATTTTAAACATATAGATCACAGATAATCACACTAATACGATAAATTTTAAATACTGACAAGATAATTAAGAAGAATGTTTACTGTCCATATATATTTAGATATATGATGTAAGTATATACAATAGAATACAGAAATTCTACTAATACTTTCAGTAGCATTATTATTACAAAACGCATACTTATTAATGAATGAAGTTTTTTTTTGAATATTATTTTAGTAATTCTATTATCTTCATGCCTACATTCTATTATGAGATCAATTTTAATTTCAGCAGCAGCAAAAATCTCCATCAGTTTTCCAAAATGTCTCCTGAACATATTATTTTTTCACTAGTACAGTCTTATATAAGCACAGATACAAGAAAGTTACAAACATTCTGGAAATATCCATGACTATTCACCGCCCCCCCCCAAAAAAAAGTAAAGAAAAAGGAGGGAGAGAGGATTCAGGGGGAATTTAAATTCTAGCTTCATGTACATATATCACAGTGCCCTGATATATCAAAATTCTTCTGAAAGTTTCAGAATCGGTGATAGAGAACAGTACAATAAAAGCAAGTAAAATAAAAATAATAAAATAAATAAAAAATAAATAAATAAAATAAATAAATAAAATAAATAAAAAATAAATAAAAAATAAAATAAATAAAAAAATAAAATAAAAAAGCAAGTACAATAAAAGTACAGTAGAAGCATTACAGTAAGAATGAGTCTTCTTAGGAAAAGGGGTTTTCAGAGGCAATAAACAGTCCTAAGCACTGAGACAAGTTACTTTGAATTTTATTTACCAAACTATATTTTTCCCTGGGTAGGACTCTAGGTCTAGACTTGCATTATGTTTGGTGTGAAATGTGACAAACTGCAAAGCATTTCTGCTGGATCTGGCAATAAATATACAGCTAATGACAGAATAAACCAAAGAGCTCATAGTTTCTGTAAAACACATGTCTCTAATTTCATTATACCAAGCAATGCGTAGAGACAGAGTGTTGCAGGTAACTTATGTGGGGTCTGCTTATGGGAGAAACTGGCTATTATGTGCATAACTAACGTCATACGAAAGAAAGTCAAAAGTCATTTTCTTCTCAGAGTAGCCTACCTTCAATAACTTGTCAGGCCATCCTGCCCCATCCAAGAACACTAAAAGGGTTTTGGCATCAGGGCCTAAAGTATGACTGTACTAGGTGTGTGCATATTGCAGCACAACTTTTCTCTGCTTCATTCTACTTCCTTCCTTTGTACCACAGGCATCGATTCAGGAAACATCCTTCAATAAATTTCAAGAATGTCCTTGGGGGCTAGAGTGATAGTACAGCTGGTAGGGCATTTGCCTTGCATGCAGCCGACCTGTATTCGATTCCCAGCATCTCATATGATCCCCTGAGCACCGCTAGGAGTAACTCCTGAGTGCAGATTCAGGAGTAACCCCTGTGCATCGCCAGGTGTGACCCAAAAAAAGCAAAAAAAAAAAAAAGAAAAAGAATGTCCTTTTTTCTGCTACCGCAGAAATCCAACAATAATATACATACACATATATGAACACATGCAGGTACCTTGGTGTCTTACTATCTTACTTTCAAGCAGTAGTATCCAATGATGCAGAAGAAAGAAATGACAGTGTGGAGAATAGCGAGGATACGCAACGTCGGCTCCATGTAGCCACTGCTCTCCTCCAGGACATAATGAACGGCAATGATTCTATTTGAATCGCTGTCCACGGTGCTGACTTTGGCATTTTCACTTAAACTACGAGTGGGGAGTTCTTTTCCTTCAACCACAGAAGAAGTGGAAACCTGATTCAAACCATTAAAAGTATAGTCAGTGCACTTCCTCTAAGATACAGCTTAAACAACAAACAATGGAAACGCATCAGTATCACAAATAGATATGAAGTCTCTATAACAGAGGCACTAAGACAGCTTTTCAAAAACCAGTGAACACACAATTTAAATTCTTTCTAACTTAATTAGGAGTTATGAAGGTTCCAATACATGCAAGAAAGATAATTAAATGGAAAGTCACTGTCTTATATATTAAAAGAAAATTCGAAACCAACAATCTATACAAATAAGCCACATAATACAAATATAACAAAAATTGAGATTTTCAGTAAGTGTTGACAAGTGTTTTGAACAATTTTACACCTGTTGACTGGTACATGTCCTGCATACTGGTGCATGAACTGGCAGTTATGATCAAGGAGGTAGACCACCAGTTTTTATCCTTTTACACCTGTAAACTGCCATGTACTGATGATTGAATACCACTGTTGTAGGTAAATCCTATGCCAGGTTAAATCCATTTTTGTTAACCATTTCTGTTTTACTTCAGAAAAACACATATATTCCTGTTTTCCTAGATAATCATTGACAAAGCTTTAGTTTTTCCTTCTACCCAAATGTATTTTAGAATTAGTTTAGATATATTAACAACTAAATATGTAAATCATATACATTCAGTTCAATCTATTTGTAGTTTTATACAGGTTATTAGAGATTAAAAGGTACATACCTTATAAAAAAGCAAGATGAAATTGATCGCAAATGCGACAAATAAGGCTAACATTCTCATGTTGTAAAAGTTGCGAGCAAAATAGTTCTGAAGGTGAAAAATATTAATACATCACTTAATGAAGAGATGTGAAATTTGCAAATAATTTAAATACAATATTCTTTCATTTATATAAAATTATATCTCAAGCATCTGCTATATACCAAATACCAATCTTGGTCCAGTAGAAATAATAGTGAATTAAAAATATTTGGGTAATTATGAAGAAAATTAATAAAACACTCAGAGCTGAAAAACATAACACAGGGAATGATAAATGCTATAAAGAAAATTCAGTAGGCTTAGAGCCTAAGGAAGTATGTATATGTATGTGTGTACATGTGTGTGTGTGTGTTTGTGTACACACACACGTATTGAGGGTGTAGGTAGTTATATTAAATAGTCTGTAAAGTTTATTTCAGGAGATGATATTTAAGCTTGAATGCCTCATGGGAACAAGCCAAGCAAACGCTTAAGAGAAAACTGTAACAGATAGATAATGTGGAGAGTGACGTTCCAGAATTTAGAGTAATGTTGGTGTGTTTTAAGAATAAGACGGAAACACTTTGAGAATGGAGGAAATGTGTGGAATGAGGTCAGAGAAGTGAGCAGGAAAAAAGTCTTTGTAAACGTTGACAAAAGTTTGTTTTGCCCCCAGATTGGAGAGACAATACAATGGGTAGGACCTTTGCTTTGCATATACCCAATCAGGGTTCCATCCCTAGCATCCCATAAGGTCGCCTGAGCACTGCTTGGAGTAATTCCTGAGGGCAGAGCCAGAAGTAATCTCTGAGCAGAAAGTGGTTCCATTTGTGTTTCGGAGTCATACTACCTAGACATTAAGCCCTCAGTTTACTAACTGTGAGATGTGGTCCAGAGAATTAAACACTTTCACAGAATAGTTTTTATTCTCTGTAAAATGGAAATAAAATCTCTCACAAATTTGCTCTAAGTAAATACGCAGTAATGCTATTGATGTAAGTAGAAATGTTATTTTATCCAGGTGAGATAGGAAACTATTAGATGATCTGATGAAAGCTTAATACAATTTTATTATGATTCCGAAGGATTATTCCAGATGCTATGTAAAAAATGCTGATAGTGGGAGGCAATAGTGAAAACACAGAAACCAGTTAGAGAGTTACTACAGGAGTGCAGGGAGAGATGAACAGGATGGTGGCTGGAACTAAATGGTATGCCTGAAGATGGTAATAATTGAGCACACTCAGGATCTACCAAAAGGAAAGTACAGAAGAATTATTGTTGGTTTACATTTCCATAATTACCATACCATATTTGATGGGGTTCAGACAGTAGGCAACAAATCATAGAGGGAAATATATATATACTATATATATATATAGAGAGAGAGAGAGAGAGAGAGCCTGGCAAGCTACCAAGAGTATCTTGCCTGCATGGCAGAGCCTGGCAAGCTACCTGTAGTTATTCAATATGCCAAAAACAGTAACAATAATAGGTCTCATTCCCTTGACTCTGAAAGAGCCTCCAATATGGAACTGCTTGGAAAGACGAGTAAGGAGAGGCTGCTAAAATCTCAGGGCTGGGACAAATGGAGATGTTACTGGCGCCTGCTCAAGTAAATCAATGAAGAATGGGATGGCAGTGATACAGTGATATATTTGTGATGGGAAAAAAAGAACTTCAGAGATGATAACTTCTGGATTTGGAAGACCAAACAAATAAGTAAATGATTGGTGACACTTTGGGGGAGAGGGGTGGCATTGGAGCCCCACCTGGATGTCCTTAGGTTTACTCCTACCCTTATGCTAAAATCAGTCTTGGGATATTTGGAGGAACTTCTGCAGGGCAAGTACCTTAATTCCTCACACTAGAGCCATTCATTATGCTGGCAAAAATACTAAAGAGGTGAGTTGAGAGAAAAAGACAAAGAATGAGTTCCATGTTTTTGCACTAATATTGAGACATGTCTACCAGATCTCCAAAAGAGAGACTTTAACATCAACATCTTGTTCAAATCACAGCACATATTATTTTCCTTCTCCATGTATACATCCCATTTTAATTGTCTCATTGTCTCACATATGATCTTGCCTTACTGAAAAAGTTTATTTGGAGCAACATTGGCGACTATAGACAGAATGTTCTGTCACAGGGGTTCTTGAAAAGAGGAACTAAATGAGAGGTGGGTCCTCTAAGCTGTGATTTGGGGGGTAAAGTAACCTATGTGAGTTATTATTATGTCATGTGTACATGCAAACTGCAGAGAAACAAGAAACAGGAACTATGCACAGATAAGAGAAGATATGAGTTCTGGGCAAGACATGGAATAAAACCCTAATTTCTTGTTTTGCACAATTGTTAGCTACAGAGTTTATAGAATATATGATTCAGGAATATACTGGGGCTTTTGCAGGTTATAACGAGTTCTTTCAACCTGATGCCCTATACTATCTATAGTTGTAGCCATGGCAACTAATAAATCAAATTATCCAGAGCTATCTAAACACTTAGATTCAGTGTATTTTGTATTAAATAATACAGGACAATACAAAATAGTAATAAATTATGACAAAAACTTAAAAAGTATGTTTCTACAAATTTAAGATTTATAACATGCATATATATTTATGATGTCACAATATATAATTACTGAACACAAATTATTTTCCTCATAGATGAGTTTCTATAGTATACTGTACTTAATTATCTATTTTTGTTTTTCAAAGACTATGGAACACTAGATATAATTTTTCCTTTCAAATAGTTTCATTATGAGATGAATGCTGTTTTTAATTTTTAGGTCAGACGCTGATCAAACATTTTATGGCTTTATTTTAAACATTCATCTCCTAACCACTTTCTATTTTAAGATATTATATGTATAAAAAGAAATATAAATATATTTATAAATTATATCTAAATAATATAATTATCTATATAATTATAATTATCTATATAATTATATTATTTATAAATATTATATTTATAGATACACAAGCATGCACAAAAAATGCCTTTCAAGCACAAGTTTTAAGAGTTTCATTTTGTCTGATTATGAATGTAAATACAAAGCAATTCCTTTGTCTTCTGAGTATAAATATGTATTTATTAACTGGGAGAGTATTTCTATAAAATCCTTAGGGTATTACATAAAATTTCTATTTGCTATTCTTCATTAAAAATTCAATTTAAGGAAACATTTTGACTAAACCTTGAAAACAATGAAAAGTTGGTTCATGACATTAATAGTTTCATAATGTAATTTAAAAATAAAGGAAATGTTCAGAAATAGTTATTAACCTGATCTGGAACACTGATATAAATTCCTAGTATACTAGAGGTATGTTTGTCTTCAATGTTTTGTAGAGTCTCACAGGGAGGAGCAAAGACTCGAGCCTTGGGATATATTTACTGACTTGCCCTGAGCTCTCTGTGGGAAGACCCTGAGGCACCATGCCCCAATAAGACAGTTTCAAATAATGTAAATCATAGGGGGCGGTGGGACAAAGGCATCCATCATAAAAAAAATGAATATACTGTGGGCAAATAGTAGATATTTGCAGGACTTGTTTTGTGGCCTGATGATCGCCCAAGGGAAGATTCACTGGGTGGTCCTGAATCATTATGGTCTCATGATATATCAGTAAAAATATTTATTCTAAAACATCTTACTAGAAGTTTCTGTTGGTAGGCTATAATTTTCTTCCAGAATGCTGACTCAGGAACCTCTGATTCGCCATATCTGTGTGCATGGAGCTGCCTTAATTTTTGTTTACCCTTGTCATCTTTGACTTTTTCTTCCTTTTCTCCATCTTCTCCTCTGTGAACAGAATGAATTATAAGTCACTGAGAGGCAAAATACATAAATAGGTCTTTCGCCAAAATGTACATATCAACAATGCCTAAATTGTAGAGACACGACTGAAAGCAAAATTTCTTCCAATGAACTATAGTAGAATTTTAGGAGTAGGAATCGATGCTTCTCATAGTCTCCCATAGATGGATAATCTCTTAATTTTAAATGTAATGTATATAGTATAGGCTGTGTGTTTATATCTATACGTAGCAATACTCTTCCAATTGTATAACAAAAACATTTACTGGAAAAGATAAATGATTTTTTGTTATGACTCTACAAGCACCATTTCTTTTTTAATGGAATTTAATCAAATTGAATACTTTTGTTTGTTTGGGGCCACAATTGGTGGTGCTCTAAGCTTACTCCTAGTTCAGATCTCAAAGATCACTCCTATGGGCTGTACTATTACTCAGGCCCAATGCATCAAATACCTTAAAAGTTAACAGAACTTAAGACATTGTTTGTAAATAGTTTTCACTTTTTTGAGGGGGGGTTTGGGCAAGGCATGATGATGCTCAGGGATATCTACTGGCTCTGCACTCAGGAATCACTCCTGGCGGGTTCAGAGGGATATATGGGATGCTGGGATGGAACCCAGGTTGGTCAAGTGCAAGGTAAGCCCCATACCTGCTGTACTATCTCTTCGGTCCTATAAATATTTTCTTATGCACCATTTTAATAGTATTTGTCTTTTCTTCTGGTGTGATTCTTGTGTAACAATTATTTTGCCTAATACAAAAAAAGCCCCACAGGTTTAAGATATTTGTAGAACTATAAACATTTTGTAATCATTGGGACTACCATTTTTGTATTTTATCATAAATATAAATACAATATACTTACATAGGTTAAAACAAGCTTTATCAGGAGGATATTCACGGGGATTTAAAATCAGAGGCACACATATATGTATATATATGTATACATATGTTTGGTTGTTCATATTTATATAATATGTTAACATATTAACTTTCTGTCATTGATTCTAGGGATGAAATCTAGGGATGAAATCTAGGGCCTCACGCATGTTGATGAAATCTAGGGATGAAATCCAGGGCCTCACGCATGTTGCACATGAATGAACTACATTCTCAGTTTCAATACATTAATTTTGCATACAATAATGGAATTGATAAGCACTGAAATTGGCATAATTTTGGGGCAGGGGAGAAGAAAAACCTCCCATGTGGTGACCAGGAGGTCCAGAGATTTTTTTTTATATTTTACCTAATTTTTGGACCCCACCTGGTTGTTCTCAGGGCTTGCTTTTGGATCCACACACAGAGATTACTCCTAGCTGGCCTGAGAGGCCAATATAGGGTACTGGTTATTGAACCCGGGTTGGCTACATGCATGCTCTACTTGTTTTGCTATCTCTCCAGCACCCTCAGACATTCTCAGATAACTGAGCGGATAATTAAATACTCAAAAATGCAGTGCTGCTCAGTCTTTGCAGTGCTCAGGAGCATTTGGGGCCTAACCCAACTGTGCTTGGGGAAGGCCCTCCAGGATTGCACCTGATGATGCTCAGGGAAACTACATGGATACTGATATCAAGCCAGGGTTGGCTGTATATGAAACATGTACATTAACCCTGCTACTGTTTCCCATTAGTACACACTTAGACTGGTCACCTAAAACCCCCATAGGTATAAATAGCCTTCTTTAATATTTATATATGAATGTATTCATAAATATACAATTCATATATACATAACCCGTGAGAAACTTTAGTCTATAAAAGACATAACACTTTTATAATTGCCATTGAAATGGCTTCATATTCTTTTACATATGTTTCACATTTCACTGTACTACTCAAAATAAAAGAATGGGGGGGATTAAATCTCATGAGAAGAGGGGCACCAAGACAATGAAAATTTTTATTTTCCCAATTTTTTTTTAAATTTGTATGTTTATTTTATTTATTTATTTATTTTTTAATTTTTATTAGTGAGACATCATGAGGTACAGTTGTAGACTTACAAATTTTTGTGCTTGGGTTTCAATTATACAATGTTCAAATACCCATCCCTCAACCAGTTCCCATTTCCCATCACCATGGATCCCAGTATCCCTCCCACCCCCCATCCCCCCATTCCACCCTGCCTCTGTGGCAGGACATTTCCTTTTGTTCTCTCTCTCCTTTTGTATTTTCCCATTTTTTAAAAAGTGTGCTTATAAAAGGACTGGAGTGATAGCACAGGCTGGAGTGATAGCTCAGGGTAGGGCATTTGCCTTGCACGCAGCCAACATGACTGACCCGAGTTTGATTCCTCTGCCCCTCTCGGAGAGCCCGGCAAGCTACCGAGAGTAACTCGCCCGCACAGCAAAGCCTGGCAAGCTACCTGTGTCATATTTTATATGCCAACACAGATAACAACAAAATCTCACACTGGAGACATTACTAGGCTCGCTCGAGAAAATCGATGAACAATGGGAGGATAGTGACAGTGACAGTGCTTATAAAAAAAAAAACAACTTAATGGGGTTGGAGCGATAGTACAGTGAGCAGGGTGTTTGCCTTGCATGCAGTTGACCTGGTTTGATCCCCAGCATCCCATATGGTCCCCTGAGCACCACCAGGAGTAATTCCTGAGTGCAGAACCAGAAGGAACCCCTGTGCATTGCCAGGTATGACCCAAAAAGCAAAAAAAAAAAAAAGAATAAATAAAATAAAATAAAAACTACTTAAACTTGGGAAAAGAACTAGATGTCAATTATTGAGAGAAATTATATGTTTTATGAGGAAATTATACATATATTGTCATTCCAAGATCTTCATTTCTTACTGCTGCCTCTTTAACTGTGCCCTAAGCATCAGCTAGAAATACTGGTGGAAAGGAGCACAAGACCATGTGCTCCATATCAGATCCATTGACTCAGACTTCTGTGATGGACTCTAGAAATCTGTCTTTACCATACTGAGCTCACAATTTTTAAGTATGCAACCTTAGGACAACACTTTGAGGAATACTACTCCACAACGCGACTATGAAAAATCCAGAGTGATTTTTCTTCTATCTTCTTTAAAAGAACATAAATACATGCATGACTTTAAACATATGCATATAACAGACAGTTCCTCAGGAGGAACACTTTAAATGCAAACACTGGAGGCTTTTGTGCTGAGTAGAAACACACAATTGCATCTTTGTGGAAGGAGAGAGTGGAATGGCATCCTGCTGTGGGCATTCTTTTATCTTTCTCCCTGATGGAAGCCCTCATGTCTGAGTATCTCCACTGAGGATAGATTTCCTCCTGTAATATTCCCTTTTAATTCCCCTGAAAAGAATATATGTGAAAGACTTGCTGAGGCAAAGGAAAGTACACAGAAACTACACATACTCAGCCTTTTCTGGTTCAGATTTTATTTCTTCTTTTTCTTCCTTTTCTTCTTCTTTTACCTTCTGTTCCTGGAGTCAACAGGGAAAAGAAAAGTAGATTACATATCACCTTTGAATGAATTCAGAAAGTCCTGTGCATGTGTGCTAGTGCATATCTAGTAAGTGACATCCTCCTGCATACATAAGATCAAGTATTCTGTGTGTTTGCCAGCAGTACATACAAACTTTCTAGGCTCCAGTCTTTATTTTGTATTTCAGAAATATTCGTCTTAAACTCATTCACCTACTTAATCCTTACCCATAAAGGCCAATTTGCCCCAGTGACAGACTCATTTGATGACTCAAGACTGTTTCCATTTCCCCAAGATGGTGTAGCTTCTATTATCTATTGGATATTACTTCTCATGCGTTTTTATATACCTTCCTAATAAACTCTTAAACTTGAAAATAATGATGATTCTTTTATTTATTTATTTACTTATTTATTGGGTTGGGAGGGCTACAATCCGATGGTGCTTAAAGTTTGCTCCTTGCTCTGTGCTCAGGAATTAGTCCTGAGAGTGCCTGGGGGAGCTTATGGGATGCTAGGGATTGAATCTGGGTTGACCATGTGCAAGGCAAATGCCCTACATGCTGTACAACTTTCCAGCCCAGACAATTCTTTCAATTCCCCATAAATATTGGTAGGTGGAATGATTGCCCAATTCACTATTGTCATTGGAGAAGTTAATTCATCTTATGCCTTATCAGTTTAAGATAGTGAAGTAATTTGTAAAGAATCTGGAAGGAATTAGTTCTGTCTAATCGAAAGCCATTTCTTTTTGGAAATTTAAGTCACCATTTCTGACACTAGTATGAAAACGATGTAAAGCCCATTTATTGCTCCCACCTGAAATCCGTTCTTAGAGATGAATTACCTGAAATTTTTCTTGCACCTCTGGGATGGGGACTGGGTTGCTCATGAGGTCACTGAGACCAGCATTTGGATTGTGAGGAATCAATTTGTACTGTCCTCCTTCTCGCCTCAGATCCAAACCAAATATGTCGGAGAGAAGGTCACTTTCCTCTGTCAGCTCCTTTAGGTCTGTTAGATCTTCAGAGGGCAAAGGGGCCTCCAAGGGTTTCCTCTCACCCTCCTCTCCATCTCCTCGTACCTCATCCTGAGTGGGGTCTGGCATGTTGGCCAAGAGCTCAGCAACTTTGATCTTTTTAGCACCTTCTACTAGGCTTCCTCCCAGTAGCAGGCTGCAGATAATACGGAAAAAGCCTCTGAACACGCTGGCCACAAAGTGCAAGAGACCCAGAAAAATACTCCAATAGGAGCAAAAGAAGGCTGTGACCATGTCCTTCATGGTCATCTTCTTCACTTTTTTCATCTGTTTCTTTAGGCTCTTTAGACTGAGCATGCGCATAAGAGTCACGATATTATACCTGAGTGCAAACAAGGCTGACTTGACAGTCAGAATGGAAAAGAAACCCATCCTCGGCCCCTGCTCCTCTGGCTTCTCCTTCTCACTCTCTTCTTTGTTGGTGGACCTCTCATTCAAATCCGATTCAGAGATCTGAGCCGCCAGCTGCATCTCGAATATGGTATCCTCACAGAAGTTCACAAAAAGTTCCATCTTCTCTTTCTCTCCCCCTTCATTAACCACATCAAATATGAACTGTCTCTTGGACTCCTTGACCTGCGGCTTCTCCCACTGAGTTCGGCTGGATTCACTGATTTCAAAGTAAACCCTCTCAATGCGTTTGGCACTGCCCATGATCTCAATTCGGCCAAGGAAGGGCTGGAAGTAATTCAGCACACTTTCTGCTAATTCGAGAAAGGTCTGGAGGCGGGTATCATTGGGCATGTGTTCGGAAAGATTTGTCAGAAGGACAGCCACATTGAAGCTGATGTCCTTGGCGGGTTCATGGAAGCGCTTGACAAATTCTTCATAGTCCAGAGTTTCATTTTCATCTGTCTCTGCGCAGGACAGGAGAAACTCGGTTTCTGATTGTGTGTAGTGCTTGTGGCTCTCCATGGCTTTATGGAAGTCCCTCTTGGAAATAACTCCCTTGCCGTCAGGGTCATATTCTTTAAATGTATCAGAAGAAGTCAAATCCTTCAGCTTTAGGAACATGTCGAAAAATTTGAGAATCATTTCCACGTTGTTGGAAGATTCCACAAGCATATCAACCATCTGTTTGCCAATGGTTCCATTTACAACATTACCTGGAAGTAAAGGATTAGATTTCTTCAAAATGAACATTTATGATAAAAGCAACATTTATAGAGAAATTAAGATTAGAGATCTTACAGACATTTGAATCAAGGAAACATCCTTGTTCATATTGTCAATTTATGAATATCACGAAAATATGGAAATCTATTTAAGAACACCAGTTTGAAAATGGTTATACAAATACATGTGAAAGCATATTTACAAAGCAACTTAACTAACACATGCAAATGAAAGCTAATGGTTTCCCTTAAATTAATCACAGAAGTAGCATGGTTAAAGAACATAATAATGAGACAAAACTTATACCACTCAAAACTTCCACTTAATTTCAGAAAGTGAAATCCAAAATCATGTTAATCACAATAAGAATCTATATAGTTCTGTAAGGTAGAAAAATTATGCTCAAATACAACGCCTAATTTAAGAAGTTTTAAAGAAAATGTTTCTTAATTAATTCTGACTATGTAATTGAAGAAACTAAAGTTTAGCAAGTTCTATTACTCAGACTAGTGCCAGGACTTCAAGTAGATTCTCTGAGAGCAAATTACAAGCTCTATTGGAATTAGTATGTAAATCATTTTAATAGATCTCTTTATAATGATTCTGCTGTTGGTTCTTTATAGTCTTGAATGCTTTACTTATACAGTTTTATAAACCAGTTACCATAATTTTTTTAAAGTTCTCACTGTAAGACAAAGTTTACAACTGTTATGTGGTGAAGAATGCCAAATATATTGCATAAATCATTTCATAGTATATACACATATCCAGATTATAATATTGTGTGCTTGAAACTGATAAGTACTATTTCAGTTTATCTCATTTTCCTGCTATGAGAGAAAAAAAGAAAAAAAACCTTTGCTGTTATACTTGAAAAGAAATTTTATCCTAAATTATGGAGTCATGGAAAAATGCTAGAAACATAAAGACAGAGTAAAAAAGGTGGAGGATAAGAGATGTGTAGTATACATCTGTGAAGCAGTAAACATCGTGTTTAAGATTTTGGCTCAAGAGTTGCATGGTTTGCAGCACTGTTTATAATAGCCAGAATCTGGAAAAAACCCGAGTCCCCGAGAACAGATGACTGGTTAAAGAAACTGTGGTACATCTACACAATGGAGTACTATGCAGCAGTTAGAAAAGATGAAGTCATGATATTTACATATCATGTAAATATCAAGTGGTACTACATGGAAAGTATCATATGCTAAGTGAAATGAGTCAGAAAGAGAGGGACAGACATAGAAAGATTGCATTCATCTGGGGAACATAAAGTAGCAAAAAAGGAGACTAACACCCAAGAATACCAGAGATAAGTACCAGGAGGTTTACTCCATAGCTTAGAGGCCAGCCACACATGAGAGGAGAAAAGGCAGCTTAGATAGAGAAGGGAGCACCAAATAAAGGGTGTTAGGAGGATCCTCCCAGGATGGGAGAAGCATGCTGAAAGTAGACTATAGATCAAATATGATTGCCACTCAATGCCTGTTTTGCAAACCCCAGCACCCAAAAGGAGAGAGAGACAAAAGGGAATGCCCTGCCACAGAGACAGAGTGGGATGGGGGGTGGGGGGTTGGGATGGATACTGGGACCCATGGTGGTGGAAAATGGGCACTGGTGGAGCAATGGGTACTTGTTCATTGTATAACTGAAACCCAAGCACAAAAATTTGTAAGTCTACAACTATATCTCATGGTGTTTCACTAATAAAAAATTAAAAGAAAAAAGAGTTGCATGGTTGAGTTTGATCTAGCCTCTAACCAACCAGCTTTACTGGCAGATTTTTGTTCTCTCTGCACCTCAAATTTTTTTTCCAGTTGAAAACTGAATAAACTGGTGCTATCAGACTAAAAACAATTTTTTGGTATAAAATATTTAAACCAGTAGCTGATATTTTTAAATCACTTGTTCACTTGACATCCCATTACTCATCGATTTGCTCAAGCGGTTGCCAGTAATGTCTCCATTTATCCCTGTCGCATGCTAGTATAGCCCAAAGGCGTCTGCTCATTCTAGGGACATGAAGAACCTATTTTTAGAAACTAACTGAAATTGCCATTGCTGCTTCTGTTGTTACTGCTACAATTATGAGTAAAGTTACTGCGATTACTTAGACTAACTTTTGGATTGAGATCCTAGAAAGGGGATCCAGTACTCTGAAAGTACAAAGTGGCTACTAGCTAAGGATTTTATGTTGCCTTCAATAACCAAAGTGCCATAACACCTTGCAGAACCAACTAAGAAACAGAGAATCAAAAATTAAAATGAATTTAAGGAAAAATGGCTAGGAACAGAACAGCCAATATTTTTCAGTTCTGATTAAATTCATATGGCTTCAGTGAGTTCTCACATGAGCCGATCATTACCTCCATTTCACAGGGAAGAAAGCAGTGATGTGGAGATGTAATTTTTCCATACTGTGAATACAAAAACATGTAAGAGCAGGGCTTCAAATGGTGGAGCAGATTTCTGGAGCCCAAACTCTTAAGCACTGTGCTTACTGCCTGATACAGAATATAAATGTATTAGTCGAAAAAAAAATTTGAAAAGGGGGAATAAAAACTGAGAAGCATGTGGATAAATGAATGAGACTGCTGAAGCAGCTGCCTTGGTGAGTCTCACCAGAATTTTTCAGCAGGACTTTATGAACCCACAAGGATTTCACCATGCAGTTAGCTCAAAGTAGTGATTTACACAGCGAAAGTCACATGTCTCTTATCCCTACTGATTATAAGCAAACAAAACTGGAGACTGTATTCCTAGAAAATGACTATGAAATAAAAGGAAAAGATGAGGTACTGCTGTTATTATTCTACAAACACGTAAGCTGAGATGTGCAGAACTCGCCTTAAACTAGTAAAGTCAGGAACGTTATATATTAGTGTTGGAATCTTATTATTTGTAGGACTATGATTCTATAAATAATTTATCCTGCAAATAAAAAAGTTAATGTCACATAAAAATATAGACAGACATTACCTTCTAACATGGATAACAACATGACCACCATATCCTTCTGGAGATCCATTAACTCTTTTAAGAGTTCAATTTGACTGGAGTCCTAAAAACACAGCATTAGCAGTAGTATGAGAAAATGGCAGCAAGACTATTTCACTTATTCTCACAAAACAGTACTTCTCTGCTAAACTCTTTATAGCGGGATTCAAGTAAAAGAAGGCCAAATGTACTGTGCAAAATCTGTTCTTCCCACTGTAATCAGTGTCTAACTTTGTTTATTTAATTTTTTAGTTACATCTGAAACCAAACTTCCCCACATTGTTGAAAAAGTGAGACTTTTTTTTCTTTCAAAATAGTTACCCTGACTAGATCTACCCACTACGAACAACTGGTAAGACAGAATGATGACATCATAGTTAATGAGAACTGTCTTGTAATTAAATAAATTTAGTTCCTGTTGGTTTCCTTTACAGAAAATGTCATTAGTGATCAGATGAAAATATCATAGTATTTTATTTGGTTGAAGTTGCTGATATTTGGGCTGGAGCGATAGCACAGCGGTAGGGCATTTGCCTTGCATGCAGCAGGCCCAGCTAAGCAGGGTTTGATTCCTCCACCCCTCTCGGAGAGCCCAGCAAGCTACCAAGAGTAAGCTGCTGAGAGTATCTCACCTGCATGGCAAAGCCTGGCAAGCTACCCATGTCGTATTCGATATGCCAAACACAGTAACAACAAGTCTCACAATGGAGACATTACTGGGCCCACTTGAGCAAATCGATGAACAACGGGAGGACAGTACAGACAGTACGGCTGATATTAATTTTACATAGATTTTATCCTTGACTAATCTTGATTCAGGTTCTTCTGAGCCTTTTTGGGAGTAAACTTTATGATATATAAGGACTTGATCAAAACCTTCCACAGTTTTTAGGAGCACAAAACTAGGATGATTATAGTCATCTTTAAGATACCTGCCTGAGAAAATTCAAGATTCTTGCCCAATTTTGTTCATCGTTCATCTTACCCCAAACTAGAGTATAGCACTTCTGTTCTCTAGACTCTAGGAAGTAGTGAGATCTTGTCTTCAATTATTGTCAGCTAACTGAGCTTCTCAACATATACTTATGACTGATGAAAATCTCTCTTTATTAATGAATAGACTTATTTTAATCTTTCACAGTGCTCCTGCTCATCAGTGAGTCATGTCTTCACATTAGTTGAGAGGAAACAGTTATCTGCTCATAAGGTACAATAAAAAAATAGAGAGTCTCCATGGGCAGTATTCTGACTTTAAATCTAGCATTCTTTGCTCTCCTTGACAGCTGGTAAATCTTCACAGATGTGTTAAATCTCAAAACAAAGCTGTAAAAAGTGATCCAAAGGGTCATATTTATTCAGCAATTTGGGGGTAGAATCTTAAAACTGTTCAAGTGATCCAGGAACTCTTCTTAGTAATTCTTGGCCAAATGAACTTAGGGTTCATTGGAAGGGCCATGGTTGTGGTACTGTCAAGCTGCCTACTCAAGGCTGACAGAGTGTTGCTTTGGAATTTCCAGGGCTGCTTTCAGAGATGTATTTTTGTTTGTTTTTTCTTTTTGTGTTTTTTTTTATTTGTATGTTTGTTTTATTTTTGGAGAAGGGCACACCCAGCAGTGCTCAGGCCCTGAGCTCAGGGGACCTTGTGGGATGTCAGTGATTGAACCCAGTCACCTACCCGTTCTACTGTTGATCTGGCCCAGCCTTCAGAGATGCAGTGCTAGGAACTGAATTGGGGTCACTTTAACCCCTGTAAAATCTCTCTAGCCCACAATATTTATTTAAAATTGTTTCCTATTTGTGAGCCAGAGAGATAGTACAGCAGATATGGTACCTACTTTGCATGCAGCTGACCAATGTTCAATCCCCCTGGCACGATATATGGTCCCCTGATCCTGGCCAGGAGTGATTCCTGAGCAGAGTCAGGGAGTAACCCCTTATCACTGTTGGGTAAGGTTCCCCAAAACAAACAAATTTTTCTATTCACATATATCTTAGCTTCAAATGAAATAAAGTAATAAGAAAATAACAAATGGTTATTTTCAACATGTACTCCCAGATTAACAATAATATTATTGCTTACAGGAAGTGCTTATTTTTTATTTTCTTATCTTTACAACCATTTAATTTTCTCTTTGACTTTCACAAAGTTAAAATTTCTGCTAATGGGTGAAATGCCCTCTATTGAGAACAGCTGCATTTTTATGTCCCTGTATGAAAATTCTCTCCTTTTAACATGGGATTTATAGCAGATTACAAAGCTTTTTTCAATTATTGTAGCAAAGAGGCATATTCCTGTGAGTATCCATTTGGAAGATGATTTATAATGGGTTGTAAAATGTTCAGCATCTGGGGACTATGTTGTTCTAGTTCTCTATAAAATTAATTTCTTAATATCTCTTGGTCTCAAATTTGAATAATGGATACTATTTCTTCTCAACTTGTAAAAATTTATTTTATTAAAAAAATGTTCAGGGCTGAAAGAATAGCTCAATGCGAACATACTTTGCATATATTTTGCATACAGGACTGGTTTGATCCTGGGACTTTCTGTATTCATGGTCTCCTGAGCACAGAGCTGGGAGTAGACTTTGAGCACTATCAGGTGTGGCCCAAAACAACAACAAAAAATTTTTTTTAATTTAGTGGAAAAGAAGTGACCTAGAAAAGGCAATATTCAAATGTAGGAAAACATATTTGCTTTGCCAATGATTAATTTCCAGTTAGTCATTTAAGATGTTGGAAGTGAGACAACTGACCTGAGACAGCTTCATTTGCATGTGAGCAAAAACATGAAGAAATCCCACCACCGCATCCCATAGCCGACTGTGTGCCAAGCTCTGTTGATTCCCAGTGCAAGGGCCCTGGAGAAGAAAAAAACAGCTGTTATTCTTGATAATTTCATTTCAAAAAATATTTTAAAATAACTGAGACAAGTTAATTTTATACATCTGGTTATCAAACATGCTATCTGACAAAACAGGAATCCTCAAGGAATGATATATGGTGATTACAATGGCATAGTACTCTTGGAAGATAAGCGTTTAAAAATGTTTAATAATTCCAAAAGAAGTTTTCCAAGATTTTTTTTTAATTAGTGAAACACCATGAGGTACAATTGTAGACTTACAAACTTTTGTGGTTGGGTTTCAGTTATACAATGATCAAGTACCCATCTCTCCACCAGTGCCCATTCTCCACCACCAATGATCCCAGTAGCCCTCCCACCCCCACCCCACCCCCCCCTCACCCCGCCCCACCTCTATAGCAGGGTATTCCCTTTTGCTCTCTACCCAAGAATATTTATGTTTCATTATGGTTTACAAAACACTGAAAAATGGTGCTATCCTATACACCTATGTCTGTGCTTTCATTTCTACATTTTAAAAGTAAGCATTTTTATACGTGTTAAGTGATGTCCATCTCATCTTTTCTCTCTTTTTTTCCCTATTGCTTACTCTCTCTCTCTCTCTCTCTCTCTCTCTTTTTCTCTTTTTAACTTTTAGGCCACACACACCCAGCAGTGCTTAGGGTTTTTACTCTTGACTCTGTGCTCAGAGAACACTTTCAGCATTGCTCAGATGCTCTGGCATTTGCAATGCTAAAGACCAAACCTGGGTCAGCTCTATGCAAAGAAAACATCTTAATTGCTGCACTATCTTTCTTGTCTCCAACCAATCTTTTCTTAATTTCACTTATCATGGTACATTTAATTTCTTTTTATGGCTCTAGTTTTGTTTTTACGGTAATGTTACCTTTCTTTCTCTTCTAAAAAAAGTTGTTATGATTAAGGTAAATCAATCAACAGTTACTGATAGTGTGAAGAGAGACTATTCATTTAGAATTATTTAGTTGCTAAGCAGTGCTATAACAAATAAAGACATGTCCCAAATGGAGACATTAACAGCAAGATTTAATACTTCACCTAACTTTAGTTTCAGTCTCTCCCCAAAGTGAGATTTAAAATAATTTGCCTGAAATGTCCTTTCAACACTAGTGTGACACAATCTGTATCCTTATAGGGTGAGCCCCTGTAATCCTTATAGGGTAGGTGGTTTTGCCTAAAGTCTTTCCTTTCTTGTCTCATCCTCTTTCCTGTCTATAAAAATAACCTTTCATTGTACTTTTATGTTTGCTAGATAGAATGCTGCTGGTTCATGACTTTTTGATAATCCAATTAGGTGTCTCTGTTTATTAGTATGAATTATTACTTTTTAACAATAATAACCAAGCTAAAACATTGCTTTATTGCATATTAAAAAAAACACTTCAGTGCATTCTATTTTGTAAAGCTGTTTTGCCAATCATACAAATATTGAGATTTCAATATACTGCTACTTAGCTATTTTTTAAAAAATAAATCAGTAAGCTCCAGAACTCAACCTCTGCTATGCTCAAGGCCGCTTTCCATATGCTTGGGCCCAGCCTCACCCATGTGTAAATCTATTCCTGGATCGTGCAGCCATATGACAACTCATACCTCACACCACTCCACTCATACTCCAAGATTACTGTGCCACATTTGATGGGGTATAAAATAGGAGAAAACAAATTTTTGAGGGAAATATCTTTTACAGATATATGTATATATGCATTTTAGCAACATGTTAACGATCTCTTATAGAAGGGCTTAATGGCCCCTAGGTGAAATACAACAGTTTTCACACTCTTTCCTCTAAGGACACTTTTTGGTAGTATTTTAAATGGTTTTTCATAACAAAGAATACAAAATACTTCATTTTGATTCTGCTCAGGAGTAGGGGTAGGGGTTGGGATTCAGGATGGAAACATCCAAAATATGGTGGTGGGAAGGTGTAATGATAATGGGATTGGTGTTTGAATATTAAATGTAATCAAATATAGTGAACTACTTTATAAAATAAAAATCATTACAATAACATCTAGTAGAAGACATGACATTTTGTTTGAAATGTTAAAACAAGGACCTTTTCCCTAACCAGATTGCCAAGAATCACCTATGAGGTTCCCAGGGCTCCTGATCACTACTTGGGAGCACCCCCAATAAATATCTAAATAAACCCAAATAGACAAATACCAAGATACACTGAAATTCAAAGGGTAAATCCAAAGACAGCTATACCATTAAAGAAACAGAGAGAGAGAGAGAGAGAGAGAGAGAGAGAGAGAGAGAGAGAGAGAGAGAAATCTCACAAATAAGACTCACTGCAGATTTATCAAATAAAGCTAGTCTAATTATCTTTTCACATCACAATGCTACTAAGGTATAAATTAATGTAAAAATAATGCATTGTAATACAAGCAGACGCATATCAAAAGAGAAAGATAAGTGCCAGATATTCTTATACATGGTACATAAAGAAACACAAATCCTCTGATGACAGAATTGAGTTATCAAAGGCATGTGGGGAATTGGCTGAAGTTGTTTTATAAACACTTGTGGAGGGATATTAACAATTTAGTGGTAACCATGGTGTGGCAGCATTATTCTCTGAAGACATAGAAATAGTCTTGTCAACCAATACTACCTCAACAAAAATAATAAAGTATAGTCTCTAGGTTAATAACAGACAGGGCTAGGAAGACAGTCCAGATTTGCCTTGCATGCTGCTGATCTTGATTCCTTTCCTGACACTGTCAGAAGTAATCTATGAGTAGTCAGGAGTAAATTCTTAGCACTAAAGAGTGTGGCCCAAACCTATACTCACTCCCACTTCCCCACCAAAAAGAATGAAGAAAAGAAAAAAAGGAAGGAAAAAAGGAGATATTTAGCTAATGAGAATATAAAACAACGTACTATTCTTTGAAGATCTATTTTAGACCCAGAGAGATAGTTGGGGGTTAAGGCACATGCCTAGTATGGATCTGACCTGAGTTCAATACAAGACACCACATGACCCCCTCAATACCACCATGTGTAGCACTGCAGGCCCTGAGTTCCACCAGCTGTGGTCCCAGAGGCTCCCAGAACCATCAGAGTGAACTGGGTGGTCCCTGGTAGCACAGGGCACAAGTAGCACCCTAGCATTCAACTGTACAGCCCAGTTGGCCAAGAATTACCAGGAGTGGCCCCTGGGGCCCCTGATCACCACTTGGGAGTCCCCTCAAAAACTGATTTCTCGTGGTATTTAGAATTTTCTTTATAGTAAAAATTATTATATTTTATATTTATAATGAGTTTAATATAAAAATTTAAATACATAAAATATAATGAAATGTGTTTTAAAATCATATGTTTTTTTCAATAAAGCTCTGATAAGACATCTTTCTCATTTTTACTGGAGTTAGATAAAGAATGATTGATTTTATGTTCTACTCTTCCTCTCATCAACATTTGCCTCACTCTTTTCCTTCATTCATTCATATTTCCTGGGTATTTCATATACCTATGAGGTCTTAGAGATAAGTAACAGTACTATGGCTCATAACTCAAAGGAGTTGATATTCATATTTGTCAAATGATAAATCAAGTTCATCTGATAAAAAGTCACATCTCAATATACCATTGTAGGTATGTGCTGACCGAAATTTATGAATGGTTTTAATAGGAAATGATGATCATAAAAGGAAAACACTTTAATCATACTACATTTTCTGTAAAATTCAACATTAATCAGTTAATATTTAACTTCCTTAAAATGTTCAAATACTGAGCGCCATCTTGACAGCATTTAGCCGAAGAGAAGGACTACATGGAGGGCGGGATCCACAGATCCCGAAGGAAAAAAAAAAAAAAACAGGTTCCAAAAAGAGCCGAGATCATCGGGAAGTCCCAGATGGGGTAGGTAGCGCATCCCGCCTCCCCCAGATGGAACCCCGGTGACCAGAAACCTCTACAAGCACAGCTCGAGTATGCGGGAACTAGGACTTTTCCTCAAAAATGCCGGGACTACACCTCCCAGGTAACCTCAGATTCCGGAAGTCACGCCCACAGCCCGCTCCCCAGCGCCATCTTGACAGCATTTAGCCGAAGAGAAGGACTACATGGAGGGCGGGATCCACAGATCCCGAAGGAAAAAAAAAAAAAACAGGTTCCAAAAAGAGCCGAGATCATCGGGAAGTCCCAGATGGGGTAGGTACCACATCCCGCCTCCCCCAGATGGAACCCCGGTGTCCAGAAACCTCTACAAGCACAGCTCGAGTATGCGGGAACTAGGACTTTTCCTCAAAACCTCTCTATATACATCTCTCTATATACAAAGTGATGGAGGTGGGAAGTAAACCACCTAACGTTTCTCTCTGAAAATCATAGATAAGCTTTGAGCACGGCCACAGCCCCAGAAACACAAGTACTTAATGCATAACCCAGCAGCTTGGAGCAGAAAAGTGAACGGGTTATGTGTTAACCCAGGCCATCAAGTCTGCCAGAGGGGAAAGGGTGTTGGTCCCTTCCGCCCTCCTCCCTCTGGAAAGAAAGGTGGTGGCCACATGGAGCCTTGTGGACAGCAGGTATGAGCCAGGGGTGTGGGGGCGACTAAAACCTCATGGGAAGGGGGGCGTTCCGGTCCGTCCTTCACGCCCTACCGAGGCCACCAGTTGCCCCCCACGAGCGGCTCTCCAGCACGGCCACAGCCCCAGAAGCACAAGGTCTTAATGCAGAACCCAACAGCTTGGAGCAGAAAAGTGAACAGACTATGCGTTAATCCAGGCCATCAAATCTGCTGGAGGGGAAAGGGTGTTGCCCCATTCGCCCTCTCCTCTCTGGAAAGAAAGATGGAGGCCACATGGGAGCCTTGTGGACAGCAGGCATGAGCCGGGGGAGCGGGGGCGACTAAAACCTCATGGGAAGGGGGGCGTTCTGGTCCGTCCTTCACACCCTACCAAGGCCACCAGTTGCCCCCCACGAGCGGCTCTCCAGCACGGCCACAGCCCCAGAAGCACAAGGACTTAATGCAGAACCCAGCAGCTTGGAGCAGAAAAGTGAACGGACTTTGCGTTAATCCAGGCCATCAAATCTGCCAGAGGGGAAAGGGTGTTGCCCCACTCGCCCTCTCTTCTCTGGAAAGAAGGATGGCGGCCGCATGGGAGCCTTGTGGACAGCAGGTATGAGCCGGAGGTGTGGGGGCGACTAAAACCTCATGGGAAGGGGGGCGTTCCGGTCCGTCCTTCACGCCCTACCGAGGTCACCAGTTGCCCCCCGTGAGCGGCTTTCCAGCACGGCCACAGCCCCAGAAGCACAGGGACTTAATGCAGAACCCGGCAGCTTGGAGCAGAAAAGTGAAAGGACTATGCGTTAATCCAGGCCATCATGTCTGTCCGGAAGGGAAAGGGTGTTGCCCCAGTCGCCTTCTCCTCTCTGGAAAGAAAGATGGCGGCCGCATGGGAGCCTTGTGGACAGCAGGTATGAGCCGGGGGAGTGGGAGCGACTAAAACCTCATGGGAAGGGGGCGTTTGGTTCCGCCCTTCACGCCCTACCGAGGCCACCAGTTGCCCCCCACTAGCGGCTCTCCAGCACGGCCACGACTCCAGAGCACAGAAACCAATTTCTTAACTATCTGACTTTCAGTATAAATACTTCCAGGGTCAATAAGTAAAATAGCAGAAATCCAAAACCAACATTTAATTCTTGAACCCAGCTGTAGAAAGCAAATCACTTCACAATGCTTTTTCAGCATGTCTGATTGGGGGGGGGGGTAAACTCTAAATAATAGTGGTGAATCTTTTATTGAAACAATGAATCTAATCAAAGCAGATAGAGTGTTAACTAGAATTCATCTGCCCCACAGGGAGTGGGAGGGGTGGGAGGTGGGGTTTTATTGGGGTTCTTCATGGTAAAAAAAAAAGCATTGGTAAAGGGAAGTGTGTTTGATATTTGCATGACTGAGACCTAAACCTGAAAGCTTTGTAACCTTTCCCAAGGTGATTCAATAAATAAATTAAAAAAAAAATGTTCAAATACTTACCTGAATATACTCTGTGAGAGTATTAAAGACTTGCTTTGCCACTTGTATTGCTTTAGAGAAATTCCGTTGTCCTTGTTCATCAATAACATCTTTTCCAGAATAATACCAATAGAAATCACTAATGGATTCCTAGAAATGAAAGATTATGTGATTAATGTGTATTATATCAATGACCAGGCTAGACTTGTCTTGCTGCGTGTTTAAGGCTTAGTCATGGTTCTGTGTTCAGAATCACTCTTGGTGGTGCTTGGGTGACCACTTGCAGTGTGCAGAGCCAGGCCTCAAACCTCGTCCTCTGTTTGAAAAGCAAACTTCTTATCTGCCCCTAGATTTATAATAGGAAATAACTTTATTTGGAAGCAAAAAATAGTGGGAAGCAAAAAAAAAAACTGGAAGTAAATGTTTTCTCAATAAATTTCCTAAACATGAAATTTGGCAACATTTTCCTAGAATATAAATAACAGAGAAAACCAGAAAAGTTAACATTAAAAATGAACTTCTCTGAATGATTCTGAATTTGAGAGAAATATTAGGTATGAGTATTCATATTTTGTATTTCTTCACAGACAAAAGAATTCATAATATTCATGCCAGTTTACCCCTATAGAAAATTCATTTCTACTTTGTAAGCACAAAAATTAGTCAAATTTTGGATGAATTAGTTTTGCAGTCACAGATATTTGGTCTTAGTTTTTATCCAACAAAGCTGATAACATTTCCAAGGTAATAATATGGGAATATACCTTGATTTTGTAATTGCCCCCAAAGAAACATAGTCACTGATGAAAAGCGATGATTGAAAATACATCCACATAAGGTTAATATTTTCATAATAACTTAAATCTGAAAGGATTTAAAATCAATAATACTACATAATATGTTCAAAAACTACAGCGGAGCTTTGAGAAATTATTACAAAAAACCACAAATTTTTCTTATGAGGTTGATATGTTTCTTTCAAAACTTTACTTTTTCCATTAAGTAATTTCCATTAACTTAAAAAAAAGTTTGTGTTTTTATAAATTCAGAGTGAGGGGAAAACTGAAAGAAATATGAGGTTATTGTTGAACTCCCTGCACAGGCTGCCTCCGTGTGCGGCTCCAGCAGGCACTTCACCAGCAACAAAAAAAATTTATAGGGCGGCCAGAGCTACAATCCAGAGGGCAGGACTCTTGCCTTGAGAGCAGCAAACCAAGTTCATCCTATGTGGCCTCCTGAGCCTCTCTAAGAGTGAGATTTGGAAGCCTGCCTCATGAGCTGGGAGAGAAGACAGCCAGGATAGAGAAGGGACCACTAAGTCAATGATGGTTGGAGGGATCTCTTGGGATGGGAGATGCGTGCTGAACGTAGACAAAGGAGCAGACGTGATGGCCTCTCAATATCTATATTGTAAATCATGATGTCCCAAAGTAGAGAGAGAGAGAGAAAGAAGGAAGGTGCCTGCCACGGAGATAGGGGGCTGGATGGGGTGGGGGTGGCGAGATGGATACTGGGTACGTTGGTGGTAAAAAAAAATGCATACTGGTGGAGGGATGCATGTTCAATCATTGTATGACTGTAAGTCAACCATGAAAAAGCTTTGTAACGATATCTCACTGTGATTCAATTTTAAAAAAATTTAAAAAACAGAGTGATCCCTAAGCATAGAAATAGGAGTATCTGTAGGCCCTGAGCACTGCTGGGTGTGGCCAAAACACAAACACTCCCCTCACACCCCCCCCCCCCCCCAATAAAGAGGAAAGTTTGTAGCACTCTCATAGAGACCCTTTACCTTCAGATTCAGGGGAAACTTGTTGTTGTTTTCATGTTTTGTAGCCACATACACAGTGCTCAGGGGCTACTTCCAGTTCTGAGTTCTGGGCTAATACCCAGTGGTGCTTGGGGGTCTTTGTAGTGCCAGGATGGAGCCTGCGTCCCCTGTACATGGTCAGCCTTTCGGCTGTCTCTCCAGCCACATATTCTATCTTATTAACATCAGAGATACATCAAGGCAATGAAGGGCCAAGTTTTTTTCAAATTGATTAGAAATCAGTCAAAAATAACTAATCTGATGTAGGCTGTTGTCTAAAAATTCGCTAGATTGGGCTGGAGCAATAGCATAGTGGGTAGAGTGTTTGCCTTGCACATGGCTGTCCCGGGTTCAAAACCCAGCATCCCATTTGGTCCCTTGAGCAATGCCAGGGGTAATTACTGAGTGCAGAGCCAGGAGTAACCCCTGTGCATTGTCGGGTGTGACCCAAAAAACAAAATAAATAAATAAAAAATAAATAAAAATTCACTAGATAATTTGAAAATCTTTCTTTTCAATTCCACATATTATTTTCCCAATTATCTATCAAGTATAGAAGAAAGAGTAAAGCAGTAAGAAGTTGACAAAGTGAAAGCAAATTTAACATGCATTTGAGTTAAAAAAAAAATGTTAGACAAAAAAATTGCCCCCATTTGGAGAAAGGAAATAATGAAAGTAAGAGCCAGGATCTGAGGCAAAAGCAACAGTCTTACCCTCAGACTTGGGGAATTCTGTGATCAGAGACAAAATACTTCAAAATTTTTTAGCCAGTCATAAGTCAATACATATTAGAACATGCCACTTTAACAACTCTTCAATATAGTTTCAACTAGCCATCCCATTTCATTTGTTTCATATAAATCGTAACATACCTGAACTCTTAGCAGGTAGTCTACAGTAGAAATAATAATGTTGACAGTTGTATTATTGCCAGTCTGAGTTCTCAGATAATTTTGAAAATCTACATACAACAAAAAGGATATCATTAAAGTTCATTCAAAAATTCAAAATGAATTATTCTAATAACTCCAGAAATAAATAATGTCTCTGGTAAAAACGTCATGGCTAAGAAAATAGTCCTTTAATTCACATTTTCAATATGAAATAATAGACCTTGTCCATAAAAAATTATTGGGCATCCCCCAAAAATATAACGAGAACTGAGCAGAATATGTGTATTTAATTATTATCTAAGAAGCGGCTAACATATGTATTTCCTGATACTTATTAGGTCTAAAGCTCTAGATAGCAAATGGTTGGAATGTCATGTGTAACCTATATAATGACTATATCCACCTTCTAGGATACAGAAATTTATCTATTCAGTATTCACCCATTCCTTGTATTGTGCCAAATACCATAGAAAGAGAGAAAATTAAGATATAGTCCCTGCCTTCACAGATGCACAAGCCTAGCAGAAGGTCAGGTATATTGACTGAATGGAAATACACTGTGCTAAGTGATGCAGTGAAATAGATTTTGCAATTAAAGAGAAGTGGCACAAAATAAAATAATCCATTTCTCTATAAATTTTCTGCTTTAGAATTGACTGAGCAATAGTTTATAATATCATAGACTCTCTGGAATATAGCCTAACACCACTATATGTATTTCTAAGAGTATATAACTAATCTATCTTTCTTTACTTGTCGCCTTCTCCAAGATGAAAGAATTAAGTGATAGAATGACTGGGAAGAATTAAATGAAATGGCTAACAAAGGGCTTTGAAAGTGGCAAAGAAACGAACATAATGCCACTGCATACCAATGAATATAAAAAGCAATTTTCAAAAACTGTATTTTTTCCTCAAAGGATGAAACATAATTGAATTATTTATTCCTTGGTACTGTCGGGTCTCACAAACCTGAATTGTGTCCCTCACAAAGCAGCTGTAGGAAGCGGAAGAGGTCACAGGTGAACTCATCATCCTGTAGAACCTTTTCTCCTGCAGAAAGCCCAGAGGAATCGGTTTATAAGTCATCATCACTTGCTCTTCCTTCTGATCCCCAACTACTTAAAACTTGCATGTCAATCTAGCATTGTTCTGAACCAAAAACAGTCGCAAATCATAGCAGCTTTCTATCTGAAGCTCATAAGATCATGCGCTTGGCAGATAGATGCACTTTTACTTTGTAGGAAAAGAAGATTTGAATCTTAAAACTCAGATTTCTCTGTTAAAAGTAGCAGCATGGGTTTGGCAACATTTTAGAAACAACTTGAAGATTATGACTTTTTGTTTGTTTTGTAAAATGGGTATAGGGATAATCTCCTTATCACAAATATTAAAGTTAAATGTTTTTCCCCAGAGTATGAATTATAAATGATTCAATGCAAAGACATAATATTTGTGCGAATTTATATACATATATGTGTACTTTAAGTGTAAGATCAAGAATTTCTTTTATTAAAGAATGAGAAAATTTTCATGAAAAATTTACAGATTAAATATATTTATTAGATGTTATTAATGAACTCCTTTATGGTTTTTTTAAAAGTAAAACCTCACAGAAATCTAAAATAAAGATATCTTTAATTGGAGCATATTCAGGAGTAGGAAAACTGGCAAGCACATCTACTTCTAAATATTAGACCAAAATGAAAGACTCATCCTGTGTGGACAAAAATCTAACAAAGCAAGACAGAAAGGAGGACATCTCATTGCCTCATTGAAGCTACTATGCATCATTAAAAATTAAATACAAATGGGGGGAAAAGATGAAACCTCAGAAAATAAGTCAGAAATTTTATTAATATTTCAGTTTATATGTATCATGATCAGAAGTTACTTTGAAAGCAAAAAATAATGAAAGAAACAAATGAAAAAAGAAACAGCACTACACAAATGAAAACTGACTTTCAAAACATAGAGTATCACTGAGGGAAAAAAAAATCAACATTATGAGTATGCTCTGGAATTCAAATTGGTTCAGAAAGCAAAATGACAAAAAAAATGTTGCTTGGCAAGTGAAAAATGTATGTATTTAAATGATAAATTTTCATACTATAAATACTTTGGGCTAAGAAAGAAAACTATGCAATGATCATGTGTTTACTTTAAAATTATGAGTGATTATAATGACAGAGAGCTGATGGACTTACCAGTCTGCAGTCTTTGACTTTCAAAGTGAGAGGCTTCATATAATGGGAGGGTTAGGAAGCAAAACCATTTTGAAAACTAATATAAACATTAAAAAAAGTGCATAAAATCATTGTACTGGTTTCCCTGTTTGCCTATAAAATAAGACATTTGGTGACTGAACTAAAAAATCACCAAGTATACCAATCAGTTAGATGGCAAGCTGACGTGCCAAATTTAAATGAACATTGTTTTGAATCTCAGTACATGGCTGATAAGCCCATTCCTCAGTGTTTACATATATGATAGAGTTAGGAAAAATAATCTTAGACTAATAGATTAAACTCTTCTATGATAATAGTATAACGTGAGTTATTTTAATCAGAAGAGTTTAGAATTATTTTAAAATCAAAACATTATGAGCTAATTGCATAGAATTATTGATTCTTTCCTTTGAGCCCATCTAATATTTATTTTCAGAAAATTGAGTCAATAAATGATGCACGTACAATCAATATTTACATAGTCATTGTGGAATAATTAACCTTTGATCAAAGTATTGAGAAAAATCAACACTGAAAAAAATCACTGTGTACCTAAAAATGTCCTGTACAATGTACACTGATTATAATTATTTATTGTTTGCTGACCTGCACAGTATTTTTTTTTGACTGTACATTAAAACACATTCAAGTTACATAAGGACACACTGTACGGAGCAGAACAATATGAAGGAGGAAGAGGGAAGGAACAAATCAAACCTTCATTTACCTTCACACAATACCAGGTAGAAACTAGTCTGTTGTTTAATGAACACATTATCATTTGATTAAAATGCTGCCATTGCCCATGCTGCATGTAGATGGTGCAGTAACAGAGATGGATTATGGCTTTATGTCTGCAAAAGGTACAGGATCCACTCTAATTTGGGATGTATCAACATAAATTTCATTGTAAGATGAAAAATAATATGATTAGTAACAAATAAAATGGAGTAAGATGTAGTTGAAAGTGCTCTCATTCTTTTGTTTTGGGAGAGGGGGAGGGTTTGGACCACACCTGATGATGCTCAAGGTGATCTCATATCTGGCGCCTGAGACTGAAGTAATGTCTGCTTCATCATGTAAGAGAAGCATCTTAACTCCAACTCCACACTCACATTTTTAAAATATTATTTGTAATAACCTTGTGATGACAAAATGAAGATATTATGAAGAATATTCCTTAAGTTTCATTTTTAATGATAAAAGGTACATAATGTCTAACACTATAGAAAATGGGAGAATTATTTAATTACTGTTGCTTATAAGTTTATACTTTTCACCTTAGTTTTCTGACCTATGAAACATGTAGACTTTCTATATTATAAACTTTATTGCTGTTTAAATTAATTGAGTGAAAATTAATGTTATCATTGGTGACAACAGCATGAAAATAAGGGAACAACAAACTATGTGATAAGTATAGTTACTTGAACTTCTTAAAGAAATTTTTAATTTTAAAAAGACATTGTAATTTTATGGACAAAAATATGTATTCAAAATGTAAATTCTCATTTAGAAGTAATATTAATTTGACTTTATTTAATCTTATTCAAGTTAAAACCCAAACTAGTCCTATTATCGAGCTCCAATAAGATGAGCACTTTTTTTTTTTGCTTTTTTTGGGTCATACCCAGCGATGCACAGGGGTTACTTCTGGTTCATGCACTCAGGAATTACTCTTAGCCATGCTTGGGGGACCATATGGGATGCTGGGAATCGAACCCGGGTCGGCTGTGTACAAGGCAAACGCCCTACCCGCTGTGCTATCACTCCAGCCCCGAGATGAGCTCATTTTTTTTTAAAGATCACTTTTCTATTCACAATTGATTTGCCTGATTAATAGGGTAAATACCTTCTAAAGTTAATTAAAATAGTTTTACTTTATTGTTTATTTATTTTATAAATTTTTATCAAATACATGGACTAATTCAATGTTCTCAGCTTTATATACATATAGATTATTTTCACTGTTAATCAACATCAAAAACCACTGCTAATAATGAATTATTGTCTAAGATGTATGTTTGTATGTCTGTATGTGTATGCACAAACACAATTAAATTATAACGAATATACTTCAGAAGACCAAATGCCCAAAGTTAAAAGGTCATGTTTATGTTAATGCTAATAAAGCAAAGATAAGTGGAACATAAGATTTGCTACATAAAATAGTTCCCTATAGCATATGATCAAATGGAACTTAAGAGCCTTCCACTGCTGTGGGGAAAATAATTCTAATTACTGATCCTTAGAAGACTTATAATCTATTGCAGGATAAGGCAAAGATTTTTTAAATACTAAAATGTATTCTTTTGTCAACTTGATACAATCAACTTGATTCTGTATTGGTAATTTAATTGTTCTTTTTTTTTTTTTGCTTTTTGGATCACAACCAGCAACGCTCAGGGGTTACTCCTGGCTCTGCACTCAAGAATTACTACCAGCAGTGCTGGGGGACCACATAGGATGCTGGAAATCAAACCCAGGTCAGCCTTGTGCAAGGCAAATGCCCTACCTACTGTACTATTGCTTCAGTCCCCAACTGTTATTTCTAAAATGGTATATATGATTGTTTAAGTTATGTTATAATTAAATTAGTAAAAATAATTTTTAAAAAATATTTACAACTGGTAGTGACTATAATGTGCTAATCCTTGTTGTAGACATATTTTCTTATAATTGCATATCAGGTTTATAATAAATCTATGAATTAAGCAATATGAAATTGCTTACACTAACTGAGTTTTGTGGTTAAGCTTAAAAATGCTGAAAGTCAAGAGATTAAATCTAGTAAACTTCAATAAACATTCATCTAATTTATTTATTATTATTATTATTATTGTTTTGATTATGGGACCACATCATGAAGTGTTCTGGAATCTCCCTAACTCTGTACAACAGAATGACCCTTGGTGGTGCTTGTTGATTTTAAGAAAGACTATAATCTAATGGGGTTGGCAACATGCAAGAAAAGTGCATTAGCCCTGAACTATATCTCTGGATATAGTATTTCATACTATATTCCTATTTCATAGGACTCTTGGTAAAATCAATTTGATTCAAATAAGTATTATTACTTTGAGATCTAGAAAACTGAAGAGGAACAATTGTGTAGCTTTAATGTTACAAACTCCAAAGTCTAGAAGATGCAGATTTTAAAAATATAAAACTTCTGGGTGTCATAAATAATTTATAAGTTTCTAACTAAAGTACATTTATTTAAATTAAAGAAACAACCTAATATCTGAGTAAAAAATGCTTTTCTATATCAGCTCCCAAAGAAATAAAAATTACCACTATCATTTAGTTATATCCAATGGATAACAGAATAAAAGTAAAAGTTGTCTATAGAGGAAAAAAATTCCTTTGCTTTCAACTATGATTTACATATTGTCATTAGATTAATGGCTGTTTTAATCTGGGTGACTTAATTGAAATCTATATTGTCCTTAATACATTTTATCTATCAACATCCTAACAGATACCACTGCTATAACTCACTGTGACACCCAATTAATACACTAATACCTACACCAAATTTAATATAATACTCTACCGATGAACAGATAAATTATTAAAAATTATTATGAAAATATACTCTGAAGAATTCCCTACAAATTATCAATAAACATAACCTCATAGCTTTCCAACAGCCTTGAAGAAAATCACAATACCTTTGGAGGACTCAGTGTCGATGTAGTGTATTTCTGAGAAATTAAAAATCTCTATACTTTCCAGTTTAACAGATTCTACCAAAAGAATTTTTTGAATGACAAATATTAGGAATTTAATTTCAGCTATGTCATTATATAACACAAACAAGAA